ACGCTCAGCATTCCTTTCCCCCACTACCTCCACCACCATCAGATATTACCTCAGTTGCAGCTGCAATAGTTGCAACAGCAACGACGACAACTACAACTCCAACAAGCACCAACACGCCAGCAAACGATGTTGCCGACCAATCAGATAGTTATGCCAGATCCGAGTTCAGGAGGCGTGATTATGTTGTCAACAAGCCGTCACCTCTGGCTGTGGCTTACGCTACAAAACAACAACAATTGCAGCAACAACAACTGCAGCAAAAACAACAACATTTACAACAACAAGCGGATGAATCGCATGGCTACTTGTACATGTATCAACAACAACAGCAGCAGCAACAACAAAAACAACAACAGCAAAATTCTCCAACTCTGTCAAAAAATGAAAAAAGTTCTAAAAAACAAATTGTCAACAGTGACAGTTTTAAAGAAACATTAGTGTTTCACCCGCAGCAACAGCAGCAGCAGCAACAGCCGCTACAACAGCAACAGCAGCTACAACAAACAGCCAAGACAGCATCCATCAAACATCCTCCCTCACCTCTCCATGGAGAAATGCACATGTTCGACGAGATTCACATCAAAAGTTATCATCAACACTCGCTGCAGAGAAACAACAACATCAACAACAACTCTTACAATTACATGATGATGAATGGAATTGATGCAATTACGACAACATCCACAACAACGGCAGCGGCAGTTGCTACACCAACCACAACAAACAAGAAGCATAGTCAACCATCCAACGCATCAACAACATCTCCTCCTCTCTACAGCCATTACAACTATCATACCCCAATTGCATCCACATGCATGAACAACTACTCCTCAACAACAACAGCTTACAATCCAAGTGCCGTGAGTGACAGATCGCTGGAAAAGTCGCGTCGTCAACAACAGCAGCAGCAGCAACAGCAGTCATCGCAGCGCAAACAAACTCCAACAGCTGCTGTGAAGAATGGTCACATACCTTCTATGATGAAGAATTCAGAATCTTACACCATGACGACGAGTAACCACAACCACATCATCAATAATATCAACAACCTCGGCAACAAACCTCTCATCACCAAAAAATTATCAGTCGATGCATACTTCTCCACCTTGCCTTCCCTGCCCATTCCCACAAGTTCATACTCCCCACCGGAGCCCTACAGACCTGACGCACCCATCAACTCCTACCACTACTACCACCATCACGCATCATCACCTCATCATCGCAACAACTCACAACAACTTCAACAGCAACACTCCGTGGCAGGAACGCTGCCCAGCAACAGCCGCAGCAGCAACAACCGCATCAACAGCAACAACAACATCAGCAACATCAACAACTACACAGCTGGCATCCGCAAGTCTTCGCTTACCGGTTCTCTGGGCAGAGCTTATTCGGGCCACGTCTTCCTCCTGGGTGACGACACTTCGTCTCTCAGCAATGGTGGGCGTGACGTGTACATGAGCCAGCTAGCGACAGCTGCGGCAGCTGCGAGAGAACAGCTGCAGCTGGGTTATGGAGTGGTTGGTGGTGGGGTGATGATGGGAGCAGCTGACGCGGCTGCCGTTGCTGATGACGATGATGAGGCCAGGCGCTACAGAACCATGCAACCTTTCACTAACTATTATGGATGATGAGGTGATGAAAGTATTGAAGATGATGATGACGACGACGGAGCTACTGATGACGATATTGATGATGATGACGACGATGTTGAATAATGATGATTATGAATGGAATTCAAATGATACTAAAAAGAGTGTATCAACGTCCGTGTTGGGTGATACCAAATACCAAAATGGTGATAGTTATGATGATGACGATGACAATGATTAACTACGACAAAACATTTTATGCTATTTTTGAAACGTTTAAACTGTTCGCATGTGTTTTCAAACATCGCACGTAGAGTTGAATTGCACATGAACGCTCGTTTTAATTTTATTCTGACGGTGATGATGGCGAGATGATAATAGAAAAAATATCGATGATGATGTTGATTATGATGTAGATGATGATGGTGACGATGATGTAGATGATGGTGGTGGGTGGCGATGATGAAGTTGATTACAATTTTGTCGGTAATTAATTGTCATTATTAAAATAACGGAAACACGTACATAACAACTGCCTGTATAAATTATTTTTAAAATGTATTAAATCGTATAAATGTTGTGTTTTTGGCGTTTTGTTGTTGTTCTCATGACATTACTTTTATTTATTTTTAAAATTCATATTGGTTGATTAATTTTTTTTTAATTTTTCATAAAATTAGTCGAATACTTCTTAATAGTAGTTAATATTAAACAGTGAAATTTTATGTTTTTATATATTTTTATATTTTTACACAATTTTTTAGATATTACCAACTGGGTTATACTCATGCTACATAAATATATATATGTATATAAATATATATAAATATATATATATATATATACATACATACATATATGTTGGTAATAGACCATAATTTTTACAATATTCTATAAATTCTACCGAATGTTTGGCGTTAATATGTTTGTAGTTCGTAATTCAAAATAAACTTATTTGTTTATTTTGAATTTTAATAAACTAAACGTTCACCAAAAAAATTTAGTGAGAAAAATCGAAAAAAACGAACTACAAACATATTAAACAATTAAGTTTATTTTGAATTTTAATAAACTAAACCTTCACCAAAAAACTTTAGTGAGAAAAATCGAAAAAACGAACTACAAACATATTAACGCCAAACATTCGGTAGAATTTATAGAATATTGTAAAAACATACATATATATGACTTTTTAAATCGTTTTAAGCTTCCCATAGTTAAAAACATTTTTTGTTGCAGAAAATCATCTATCTATTTTAAAAAATTTTCCAAGTAAATTTTCTACCTTCATCTCGTTTGTACAGTTAACTACTACTCATTTATCACTCCTTCTTGCTGTTTGTTAGATGTTGTAAAGTGACGCGCAATACAAATTAATTAATTAACTAATTGCTAATTAATTAATTGTTAATTAGTTGTTTATTAATAAATTTTTAATTATTAATTGTGAATTAAAATGACAATAATTATATATTCTTTCATTAAATCTTATTTTAAATTGCAGTTAACTCAATAACTTTATTTGTCTTCGTCTGACTCCATCATAACTTATTTTTAAATTTATGTAAAAAAATTTTGTTCATGTTTATTAGTGTTATCATTATTATTATCATTTTTATCATTACTATTATTATCATTTAATTTTATCTCTTACTATTCCTTAAGGTACAAAAATGTATTTATTTAAATCCTCTAAAATGTTATTCATGCTCCGAGGCAAGCCTGAAACCCTAGAAGCTGATGATAAAAAGGTTATGATGAAAATGTTGATGGTGATGACGACGACGATGACAATGATGGTAATGTTGATGATTAGAACGATAATGATGATGAAGATAGTGATGCTTATTATAATGATGAAGTTAACTGACGATGATGATGATGATAATGATGAAGTTAACGATGATGATGTTGATGTTGGTTACTTATGATGAAGATAATGATGAATTTATGATGAAGTTAACGATGATGATGATGTTGATGTTGGTTACTTATGATGACAATGATGAAGATGATGATGGTAAATATGATGATGGTGAATTTTCCATTTTATTCCATTTTAAATGGGACTTTTAAACTTTTTTTTATTAACGTGCTTGTGTTAATGTTAATACGTACGTTCGAAATTGAGAGATTTTCATGCTTATTAATGAATATTTATCAAATATTTGACCGTAGGTTTAAAAAATGTTATTCTTTCACTGCTATTAGTATTACCAGATAAATAAAAATGATTAAATCTAAAAATGAAAAACCTCAAAATGTAGAAGATGTTGCCAATGATGATGAAGATGCTGTTTTCAATGTTATATTAGCATCATCGTCATCTCCATTATCATCATCTTCATCGTTATCATCATTATAAATATTATTGTTATCATCATCACCATCTTCATGAGTGTTTATATATCTGATAGATATTTTTGAGAAATTGGAAAAGATGATAACATGATTGGAATGAATTGATTCAAAAAAAAATTTTGTGTTGATTCCATTCAAAAATGTAGGTTAGAAACTTTGTTTTCTTAACCAGGTCATAAAACTAAACGAATAGGTAAATAAATTTGAGTGTTTGTTTGTGTGTTTAGGAGTTCTTGTTTGTTTGTTTGTGTTTGTGTATATTTAAACTTGGATTTATATACGGTACATCCATATTTTCGTCACACATAGCAAAAACAAATGATTTATTCACTCAGATGCTCACTCCTTAGCACTGGAAGAGAGTAAAAACACAAAAAAAGCACATACACGAACGTATGTATTTGTAGCACAAACTGAAGATGGTAAATAATAAATAAATACATTCAGATGCAACGCAATACAATCTGCATGTGATCAATCATACAATGCTAGTTTTTTTTCTTTCTCTCTTTCTCTCTCTCTCTCTCTCTCTCTTTCTCTTTCTCTTTCTCTCTCTCCCTCTTGTTTTCTAAATTTGAGTAATGCTTTTCGGATCAAATTATTTTAGAAAGTTACAGAAACTTTCATTTATTTATATTTCTTATACATTTAGACTTCTATAGGCTTTATAAATTTGTTTTTATTTAGCATGAAGACATATGCCCGTTGAAATATTTTTCGATGTTATATTATATATTCGGCTTCTAAAAAATGATTTTTAAGGAAATAAAGGTCAATAATAAATAACCTTAATAACAAAATATATATGCAGTATGGGATGCTTTGTTTGGAAAAATAATGATGTGATTGATGAAGCCTTGGATGAAAATTTGGTTAAGAAATTGAAATATGAGTGAAATAGTTGTTGAAGATCGAGCTATCACAAGATTTTTCTTGCCATTGTGGAAGTTTTGCATGTCAAATTAGAGAATCTACTGTTTTTAATATCTTAATATTTTTATATTGGTTGTTTATTGAAATAATTCAGCGGAAATCAAATAAAAAGTGTTTGTATTTTTGTGTAATTTATTAAAACATCAACTAACCACTTTTTTGTGAAATTGCTTATTGCGTTATTGTGTAAGAAAACATTTTACCGTAATCGAAATTATAATGTTTGTGAAAAAATATTGAAATCACTGATTAAAATTGCATTGCATATTATCGTCCATTCTGCCGCCACAGCCACAAGAGCGACAGCAGCGACAGATTGATTCACAGCTTGGAGTTTCTGAACTTCTGGGCGACCACACCGACCACCAACCTGCAGGCTTCCTTCCCCGTGCCCCAACAAAGGGCCATCCCATTCCCTCCGTGTCCGTAATTATGCACCACCTACATTCAAATTATGCTAATTTATTAATTATTTAATCCAATCAACTAATTTATTTATTAATTTACAAAATAATTATAAATTACAATTTGAAAAACCGAGTTTAGAGTTTTATAAAATTGATCTGCTGAGATGAAGTGGAATAAATATGGAAGACGTTTTTGGTATTGTTATAAATGCTGATGTAAACATCAGTTTCGTTTGAAAAGTAGCAAAACTCATCTGACGCATGCCACAGACGGCGTGATGGCCTAGTGGTTAAGGTCGCCTGGTGCTGTTTCGCAGTAACCGGGTTCAAATTTGACAAAAAAGTCACGTCCTTCGTGTGTGATGCGTCGTTTAGCATGTGTTCATATACGTTTGTGGCGTGTTGTTGAATCCTCTGAACTTTGGAAGAGTGTAATTGACCTTTAACCTTCAGGAACTTTTTTTAATTATCATGTTCGTGACGTGAATATGTTTAATAAATTTGAAATATATAAGCTATAGTAAACCAAATATGTTTTCGGTAATTTCATTTGTCACAGAACTATCCAAAATGTCAAAAATATATCTTCAACACCAAACGTCAAATAAACATTGAAAATAATGACAAAAAACAAACCACTGTTTATCAGCGCAAGATTTTTATATAATATTTATATTGAAAATGAGCTGACCTCAAGTTGACCGTCCTTGAACTTGAGGGTCTCCCTTTCAAGTCGTAGTGGCTCTCTGAAGGGTCTCAAGCCAACCCATTCCCACTGCCACTCGGCCGTCTGGTGTTGAAGAGTGGAGTTGGTAATGAAGATGACAACGATGGCGATGATGACGTAGATGGTAATGAAGATAGAAAGAATGAGGAGTCACCTTGAGACTAGGCAGATGTTTGCAAGCCATCTTCCAAATTCTCTCTCTATCTTCCAGCCTCACGTTCAAATCTGAGTCGTTGTACTGCCTTGTGCCTCCAATAATGACTGTCTCTTTGCTGCTTGTGTGAGTGTGTGTGTGTGTGTGTGTGTGTGTGTGCGTGAGTTGGGTGAAAGTTAAACATTTATCAATGGCAGAATGTCAGAAAAAAATACGTAACCATGGAATGACGTATAGACTGTATCCGTCGACCATCAAGAAGTGTTTGATCCACGGGGCTTTCACCTGGAGCGAAACAAAAGACTTCATCTCCGTTATAACAACATCATCATCGACAAGGTATATTTGTTTGTAACATTATCTTTTTTTACGATCAAAGTCGCTCTAATCTACTCTGCGTATCATCATTCGTATAATTATAATTATGAATAATTATTCTACAAATTGTCATAAACATCATTACCATCCATCATTCGTATAATTATAATTATGAATAATTATTCTACTAATTGTCATGAACATCAATGCCATCATCATAATCATCCGTCATCATCATTCTTTTAATTATCTTCGTAGTCATCCTAACCTCACCATCATCGTTATAATCATTCATCATCATCATTACCACCACCATCATTATCATCACCATCAGAACAAGACTGACCCTGATAACTTGACCTCTGATTGGCTTGACCTCATTGTTACCCAGCAGTTCGTTGCTACCCAAACCCGTGCAGTTAGCCACAACGTCATATTTGTTCACTAACTGGTCCAATTATGATAATAACAATAATAATTATTATTATTATTGTTATTGTTATTGTTATTATTTTACCTCTTCGAGACTCAACAGTTTTTTATTGATTATTTTTCCGCCTTTCTTCTCGAATCTGTTCGATATTTAAATAGCTGTTGATGGCTAAAATATTCAAACTATGAAATTGAAGAGGTTTTTTATCACTGGCTGTAATCTGACTAAGCGTTGGGCGATGATGTGTTTTCTTCAGAGTATTTATTCATCAAAAACATGTTCATCGTCATATAATAGCCATCATTACAAATGACGGTTGAAAAATTATTGCATAAGATTGACAATGATGGAAAGATATCATAAAGAGCTCAATCCCTGGATACACTAAAATGATACACACGTGATATATATACATCGACATCAAAATGATACAAACATTACATATAATCACCAACATTTTACCAAAACCGCCACATCACATCATCGCCATCACCATGTCAGTCAATGAAATGAAAATATTATGAATGAGTAACTTTTTAAGAAGCCAGGGTAGCAACCACCGACCCTCAGCAGTCAACGTCGTGTAGAAATTCCCGTGGCTATTGTTTCAATGATTTAATCAATTTGTCAGTCATTATTATTCATCGATTTATTGCTTTATTCAATCATATTTGATTAGAATTTATATAAAAATAAATCATTAATTATAATTGAAAAAAATGATTTAAAAAAAAGTGTTTTATTTAAATTACTAAATAGCCAACACATTTGAAGATAATGAAAATTTTGGTCCCGTACTGCTATACTCATTAAAATTTACAAAACCTTGCTATCAACTTGTACAAACATTGGGAAAATAAAAATTTTGATCAACAATCGGAATGAATTTTGTATAGATTAGATGAAGACAAACTGAGCTCTGCCTGCAACTTCTGGAAAAATAGAAAATTCTCTCTCCGTGCAGTCTCGATAGTTGAAATAGAGTTCGGAGTTAATCGGATCCTTTTTAGAAAAAATAATCTTAAGAGAAATGTTGTGAACGACTCGTTAATAATAACAAATCTATTTAACTAAAAATAACAAGAAAAATAACAAGACTGACAACAATTAACAAGAAGAGAAACGACGAAACTAACATCTTCAAGAGGGTCTTCTATATAGAACTGATAGCCAGACACCTGACTGATGCCTGCCTCTTCAGCCTCCTCGCTGAATGCGATGCTCCTGAAGAACTCGAATGAATCCTGGAACCTGATAGTGTGTTTGTATATGCCTGTGAATGTGTTTACCTGCGTGTTTGAGTGTGAGTGTGCGTGTGCGTCAGTGTAGGATCACTTGGTCATTGCTTGATTGCTAGATTGATTTAAGTGACGATGTCGAACGTAGTACAAAACCGAACGAGCGTATGATACTGGATCTCGATCACAAACATCATCAAAATCCAGCGTCATTTAAATAACACGAAATATAACAGAGTAACAATTAATGAAAATATATTTATATTTTTTTGAAAGACAATCTTTATTAAAATTCGAAACTCTCAATTGACCACTTCCTGGAAGTTTCTTTGGGAACTCCCTTGACGAGATCAACAGCAGATTGGAAGATGCCTGCAGCCCCATCACTGGTGGTGTCCCGGTTAAACTTCTCAGCAATCAAGGTCACCTCTGTTTCAGGAAGTGCTTCCTGGATCTGAACTGCCGTGCTTAGTCCCACCGCTCCTGCACCAACCACTGCTATCCGAACTTTGCGACGTGCACTCATGTTGTCTTGATCAGTTTTAACTTCGGTTGTTGTTTTAATTGTCGTAAATGTTGTGTATCTCAGTGTTGCTGTAAGTAATTAATAATATTTTTTTTATTTTGTTTGCTATTTAAATTTGTTTTTATAATACGAGCAACACGAACAGTTGACACAGAAAGGCAAGCTACTTCCTTATTAACTGTCAATTGTTATTTAAAAACACTTGTGAACGCACGCATATAAAATAAGTTAAGAGAGCGTATATTTTATGTATGTAAAGAGTACAATGTTCATAGTGCAGAATGATTTACAAATAGAACATTGAAACGCATTTTGTAACATAGATGATCGTTCTCACTGAGATCGTGAGCTCAGTCAAGTCTTTAATTAGTCCAAAAAGTTCTTTTGTATTAAACATTTGGTTTACTTTGCAACATTCAGAAAGTTTTAAATCTATATATTATTGTAACCTTTGACGCTCGTTACTACCAATACTTTGTGGATTATTGCTATGCAAAATTTTTGGACAGATGTCGCAGTTTCATTAGACATCGTAGTTGGGTGTAGGTGTAATCCTAAGTCAACTTCTCGACCAGCCTATTATACTAAATCACCTCTATTTATAGAAAAACAGTTTTAAGTAAGAGAATGCATAGAGAGATGTCATAAGATTATACTTGCAAACACTTGCATACGTTTAAATCATCAACGAAATATATGAAATAAAACAAAATTATTATAATTATAAGTGCCGTCTTAAATGGTATAATTTAATATTAAGCGCTCAAGCTTTTCTGAGACCCCAATTTCCGATGAAATTAACATAACGTCCCCATTCATGTAACATGTTCAAGACCTTTTTAGAGACTAAAGTAATTGCTATCATCCACCAACCAATTGAAACTGCAACTGCCTACATTTCTTTTTTCTCCAAAAGTCATCCTAATTCATTATCTGCAAAATTAATTATTTGCAATGAAAAAGACTCGCAATAAAATTGTGATACTACTCTTGATATCAACGTTGAAAAATAGCAGTGAAAAACGTAGAAAGAAACAAAATTGCTACACACATTTCAACAGATACGTTTTAATTGAAACCATCAGCAGGGAACCATTATAATGATCAAAAATACAAAAAAAATACTGCAAAAAACATTAATTCAGCAAGAAATAATTTATTAAAAACATTTGAATGAGCTTCATGTATTAAGATTATTTCATTTATTTCACCACAGTACCTGTGTGTCGAGTAAAAAATGCTTTAATTAATTGCTTTCAAATGACTAATTAAATGCCGTCACGATATAAATAAGTTTATAATATTTAAAAATACATAAAAAACATATTGACAAAATGAAGGAACACATCATCAAAGCAGTATATGTATGAATAAAAACCCATGATAAAAACGCAATGCAAACAGCTGCTCAAACATGAATGTATAACAATAAAAAATATTTCATCAAATGTTTGTACATTGTGCAGTTTTAATAACCATTGTTATGTGTTACTGTGTGAAATTGGAAAAAAATTATATATATATTCATTTACTTTTCGTCTACACTTGTTTAAATAAATTCACATCGAAGGTGTCTTTTTTTTGCAGAAATAAAAAAATAAGCAGCCACCCATCAATGATGGTTTTAAATCTCACCAGAATACCATCATGCGTCTAAGTGCTAGGAAGGGGCGATACATCAAAAAAAACACAAATTTATATACATGTATTTTTTCTCATTTTTTTCGTATATGTATATATACACTGAATAAATAAATATAATTATAAATAAATAAAATATATATATGATTTGGCACAAGTTCTTTTTTCCATACAAAAATATAGAATGCAAACTTTTCAATAGTGTTTGCCAGTGCCAATAGTTTGTGTACATGTATGTATGTATGTATGTGAGTGAGTGAGTGAGTGTGTGAGTGAGTGAATGAGTGAGTGAGTGAGTGAGTGTGAGTGAGTGAATGAGTGAGTGAGTGAGTGAGTGAGTGAGTGAGTGAGTGAGTGAGTGAGTGAGTGAGTGAGTGAGTGAGTGAGTGAGTGAGTGAGTGAGTGAGTGAGTGAGTGAGTGAGTGAGTGAGTGAGTGAGTGAGTGAGTGAGTGAGTGAGTGAGTGAGTGAGTGAGTGAGTGAGTGAGTGAGTGAGTAGTGTGAACATTAGATATTAAAAATATAAAAAAGAAATTTTAAGCAATTATTAAATTTAGAAAGAACCATTAGAAAGCTTATGTACAGATTTTATTTCATGGAAACATTTAAATGAGTTTTATTAAAATTTTATGCACAGGTTTTACTTCCTACCAGATCAATAAATATTACACGAATGATGATAGCAAAATGAATAATTCAGTTTGAACACTTATTTATTGCTGATGTGATAAATTTTGGGGAATGCAATCGAAAGGAAAACAAAATAAATTAAATAAAAAACTCAATGTGTACAAAATATTTCAAAATGTAAAGCAAAACAATACGTAGTAAGGGTAAACTTTGAAACAACACTGCAAAATTTAAACACCGAAAAATTAACAAAAAAGTCAGGACTCGTTGATAACAGGAAGAAGTTCATCGAGATTGCTCTGTTCCAATCTGTCTCGGCTTGAATGTCTGGACCTTCTGCCCAACACTGATGATGTGCCAATGTTACCCAGAAATGATGAGTCAAAGCTTCTTGAGAACTGTGTATCACTGCAATCTCTCGAATCTCCTGATAAGTTTTGTTCGCTTTTTGGTGGTGGTGTTGGTGGTCTGTTTCTTACCTTGGTCTTCATTTTTTTTGCATCTAAATCTGAACAAGTGAAAGATCGAGGTCTGCCACTTTGCAAATAAGAAGAGAGAGATAAGCAGGATATCTGTGTAGCCGTCAGTGATCCTATGACGTCATCTTCTTCATTTTCTGGGGGCAAAGACCTACATTTGAGACTAGATAAACTGCCAGAAGTTGGCTGCACAGGATCTCGAGAGAGACTCAAACGTCTGGATTCACTTGAATTGTGTCGACATAATGCTGAAGTGTTGAGACTACTTCGACGCAAAATCTCGCTAGCATTCGAGGAATGGATGGACCTGCGACCAAACACAGCATCATTAGGAGACAGGTGATTGAGATTCGAGTTAACATTTCGAACTAATCTGCTATCACCGGTTACTATATTTAAAGGTCTGCGTGCCAGTCCTTCTGAATTTTCTGAGGTCATTTGTTTGTTAATCGTTTGTTATTGACAATTTAATCTTTTTTTTATTAAAATTAAAGAGTTGAGTTCGGTGTTGTTTTCGTTAGCTTTTTCTTTTTTTATTATACAACTATTTTAAAAGGTGTTACAAGCGAAAATATGATAAACGTAAACTGCAGAGTAACAAATTTTGAAATTTTTGAAATAGAAAGCAGCAAAATTATCATCGCGCCCACTATGACATTAGATTAATTAGGTTTACAAAATAAATTTATTTGTTATCATTTATTTATAATTTTATACGTATACTTTACGTAAAATTAAATTCACTTTTAGGACAAGATTAATTGTTGCATTGTTGACATTGGAAAAAACACCATGAAGAGCTTAACTACGTTTTCTCTACGAAAATTTTCCAATCTACATGCATGATACATGCTATCATACGCATCTTGTTGATATTTATGTGAATAATATTACAAACTATTCAAATAAATTTAATACTCACAGTAAGTTTACTTTGCAATTTAAATTTTAAACAAAATTGAACGTAACGCTAAGTCTGCATTTAAATTGTTATCAGCTGTTGACTGTTGATGGTTTTGATTACATTGGAGTTGAATGAATGCGGTATGGCCGTCAGTTCGTTCCTTCACGACTCCAAAGCTAATGTGTAACATTCATATTTATTTCATTTGCACATTAAATTAAGTCTCTATTTTAATTTTTCCCTAAAAGATTTCAAAAGCAATAACTTCTGCGATCACTATCCATGTTGTCGTTGGAAACGAAGCTTGTGACCTGGACTCGGCGGTTTGTGCGATTTGTCTAGCTTTCGCTCTTAACCAAAACCAGGTATGTTGCACTTTTTGTTTTCCTCATTCAAATTTTTGCGTTTACATCAAATTTTTTCATCACAAAGAAACAAAATGAGAGAAGAACAGTTTATGTTCCTTTATTGAACATTTCAAGAAAAGATTACAGAATCAGGACAGAAGTAAAATATCTCCTGGAAAACGTTGGTATCACGTTTTTGATCATATTATTTGCATCCGTTAACGTAAACTTAATTATAAATCAATTTAAATGTGATAAATTTTTTGAAATTCCTTGCCCAGCTAATGTCAGTGTCATTGGGTTTTTTCTTTAATTGAATTATTATTTCTAATTGTAAACTGTGTTGAAACTCGGGTATTAAAATAGATTTTTCACTTGATTCAAACTTATCCTTGGTAGTGTCGAACTCATATTTATCCCTCATATTGCCTTAAATGTCAATGACAATAGGTCGGAATTGCTGAAGAAGACTTATGCTTCCTTGAAGATATCAACCTTAGATTGTTACATGAAAAAAAGTTATTAAAAATAACATTGGTTGACTTCAACACATTTGCTGGTGAACAAGAATATTTGAATGAGAATGTTCTGAGAGTCATTGATCACCATACAAATAAAAGAACACAGCATAATCAGTAACTGTTCAAAAAATTATTCTGTTCATTTTGTAGTTTTATTTATATCAAATTGTTACTGTTTAGAGTCGATGCTACTATTGAGACAGTTGGATCATGTTCCACATTGGTAGCTGAGTTCATTTTAAAGCATAGCAAAATGAATGATAAAATCTTGGCTAAACTTTTATATGGTAATCTTTGGGGGATAATTTATTTTTAACTAAAATCCAGCTAATTGAAACATCCATTTGTTAAGGAGCTATTTTGATAGACACTACATGCTTAGAAGACAGATCAAAAACAACAGAAAAAGATATCAACATTGTTGATGAAATTGAAAAGCAGTTTGTTGATTTTGATAGGAATGCATTGTACAACAATATATTAGTTGCCAAAGATCAAATATCCGGTTGTGATATTCATTGCATTTTTTCATTTTATGCATCTAACCTTAATTTTGCTCATTGAAGGTTTGACCCTTGAAGAAATTTTGAGGAAGGATTTAAAATTTGCTGACAAAATGATTAATAATCACATGGTTAAAATAGCTATTCCAGTTATTCGAATTAACATCCATGTAAGAATGTTCATTTTGAGTGATTGTAAAACTAAAATTGCACCACTTTTGTTTCTACAATTTTTCAAAAGGACTTCTTTGAAGAAAATTCAGATGTTGAAGGAAGAATCAAAAAACAACTTGAAATGTTCAACTCATCAGCTCTCATAATTATGTTCATGGATACCAAAGTCAATCTCAGAAGATTTATAGCTGTTTATTCTTATGAAAATGACATCTTAGAAAAAGTATTTTATTCATCTTCTGTAGTGTCTTTATAATTATTTTTTTAATTTAACTTCAATCCATATTATTTCAACTATTTCATTGTGTCATCAAACACTCAGCTGTTGACTAATATAATCATCTACCCCTAATTTTTTTTCAGTTGATAAATGGACTTGTGAACTCTAAAACCGTAGATTTGAAATTTCAAAAAATAATTGTTAAAAACTCAGAAAATTTTATATGTTTTGAACAACTGAACATTTCTGCTTCAAGAAAAGTTTTACTACCATTAATAGAGAATTTTTGATTGTCAATAAAAAAATGACACCATGCGACAAATTCCAGTTAATTTTTATAGCTACCTATCTCTTTCTTGAGTTTCTCTAATTCTGGTATTGGTTTGTAGTTTCCTTTATTTTTATCTGCAGTGTACAGCTTCAAAGAAAATAAAATCCATTTTTTATTTATAGAAAACTCACTTTACTTTACAAGTTTACACATTAACATTACAACGGATCATTTATTAAGGACATCAAATAAACAAAAAGTTGAAACCTTTTGGGGCTTAGTGGGATCTACCATTTCCCATGGTGGATATTCAGAAGACTTTATCATCCTTTATTTTTTAAAATAATTGTTGCATTGCTACCATTTATTATTATTATTTCTATTGAACAATTTTTCGACAAACCTGACGTCCGGCTTTTGGTACAATGAGTAAACGGTATAACTGATGGCCAGTGTACATGGAAATCCGACGATGGCTAAAAGTGGTATCAACTGCGGGTAAGTCAGCAAAATTTAAAACTAAAAATGCAATTGACAGGCTAGCTCTATCTAGTATTCATAACTAGTTTAACAGATTTAGGTGATTTACTTCATATTTTTTCGCAATGACTTTCAAGCTAAATATTTCTCTCCAGCCGAACAAAGACTGAGATAACTTCATAATTTTATAACTGAACACGATCGACCAGTTGCACAGAAAGCAAAATGTCGAACAACGACGGCCGTTGTGATGATTGTGTAGCGCTTCACGAGAGCCGAAGTTATTTTCTCATTGTTAAATTTTCGATAGAATGAAAACTACACGTTTTGTAGTTGCTTATTTAAAAAAAAATCATTAGTGTTAAAAAATCAAATTAAGTTAGTATGTGATTTGCACAACCAGCGAAATGATTACTGTTAAGTTTAAGAAATCACGTAAAAACTGTCTCAAAATATTAATAATAATTGTCAAAAAACATAAAAAATGCACCAATTAAATTGTACTGTGATGTCAAGACGAGCTGATTATGTCTTGTAGCTTCCAATTTCTTTCTTGAGAGCTTCCAACTCAGGGATTGGGACATATTTTCCATTGATGGTGAACAGCTAAGGTATAAAATAAAATGTGATATTTAGCTAGGTTAGGAGGTTATATGAATTGTCATTGAAAGGTTTGCAATTCTACTTTTTGGGGCTTTGTTGGGTCAACTCTTTCCCACGGAGGCAGCTCGGATGACTTCACCAGTCTGGTAATTAATAAAAGAGGATTAATCAGTTTAGCCTGATTTTTTTCTGATATGATATCATGATGATCAAAACCGTGATTCACAAATCAAACGTTTGAAAATTATATAGACACCTGACATCAGGCTTTTGATAGAGTGAATATATCACGAAACTGGCTCCACCGGTACAAGCAGCTCCAACGAAGGCCAGCAATGGCAGTAACTGTTTAGTTTATTTATTTAATCAATGAATTATTAAATCATGAGTATTTTATCATCAAAATACGTTGGTAGATGTTTGTATAATGTTAAAACGCTTAAGTAAATACAATTAAATTAGTCTAATTTGTTTATGTATAAATTATGAGCTCAGTTACTGCGTCTCCTAAATTCATCTTCCCAACGCGCACTTCGAATGTGTCGTAAAATTGCATTAGGTCGAAGTTTATAACAATAATAAATCAACATTTCGTTTCACCACCCATATATTTTTAAATTGTTTATTATTTTAAATTAAATTTTGTTCTTATTTTATTATTGAAGGTTCAAATAATTTTCAATTCAGTTTTTAATTTAGTTAAAACATAAAACGCCCAGTTAGATGTGTTTGTGTAATATTTGTATAACCTTCTCTAAATGTTAGTTGCTGTAAAACGTTTTAAAATGCATTCAATACAATCCACCATTTCGATGGCCTCCTGATAAATAGCTGAATGAATATCATCGAAAAGTTCTCGAAACGTCAAGTGCCTACCACATGTTGAGAAATATTTGCTAACAATATGCACACTGCGCGCTTGTATGCACGCCAATATCCTTGCGGTTGTACAGTTGTATCTTGTATGAATGTAATGTAATGTACGCATATTGTACATGTGCATACAGTGTGCGAACGTAACTATTGTACACGAACGTACACAGCCTGATACGTGCCATACTGTTCACATGGCCTACTTTTGGGCAGTTCATTCTCTGCCGCATAGTGTCCCGCTGCGTTGTGTATGACGCGGTATTTCTTTGTGTAGGCTGTTTTATTTGTTAAGGATTTATAAACATGCCGATATTGAAAAAATTACACAATCCAGTTTCCCATTTGTGACAGTAGAAAGATTTGGCCAAAGTGTCAATATAATCTTAGCGTTGTATTTTATATTTCACATTGTACCTTCAGTGTCCATAATCTTCATTTGTCAAAGATACCTGACCAAAAAAAATTCGCCATGAGCGTATTAAAGAAGTTTGAACACCTATCTCTTCAAAATACTTCAAATATTTCTTTTTATACGTCAGCCATAACAACGCTAAATTAATTTGCAATAATAAACGATGTCATGACAATGACGAAACTAACAATGACATTAGCCGCCAATAAGTTATATCGCATAAGCGTAAACATAAGCTATTACTGCCAACAGCATTCTCAAATGAACTTTCTTGCTAGTGTAACATTGTCATCAACACAATTTTGATAATTTTCGATAATCTTAAACCAATAATAGGTTCTAATTAATAAATGTTGACTCTTGAATCCGAAAAAGAAAAAACCCAATAATGTGAAACAACAACAGAAAATCTCCCGTAGAACTATTTATAATACATGCCAGTGGTTAGGATACACAATTATTTTGCTGGAAAAAATTTTGTTTCTTTCCTGTTCATTTTTTATGGGTGCTTTCACTATGTTATTTCTTATTTCATCAATCACTATGAATAAGTGATGATACTTCAATGTTTTACACATACATGCGCCATACGATGTTTTGTAACCATTTGAATGCCTGTTTTTTGGTCTACTTTTTCATGTTTCCAATGAAAAAAACTATTTTATATAAGTTGCAACTCCGTAATATTAAAATAGCTACGTGTAACCATGTAAGGGTCCTAAACAAACTACTAAAAATTGCCTTTTAAACGCTTTTAAAACGAATTAATTAATTAACCACCTATTATAGAGTAATGTAATACAAATGGTTTAAGTAAAATAAAAATGCTGACTTCGTATTTTTCTTTGAAAATTCTCAAACCAAAGAGTGCTTGCTTCGTGAAAACCATGTTGCTATTTGATGTTTCTGCTCCGATGATGGTTATAGGAGGCTATATCCGAGTTCGGTCTTTTGTTTGGTTTTTGGACATTTTAATAGATTAATTTTATTTATTAATACTGACAGTATTTAAATTTTATTAAGCTTTAATGTAATTGTTATACATTATTGTCGAAAATTACTTCAATTGTCAACAAATTATGTTATAATGTTACATATTATATGCAAACAAAAACGAAAAACTCTTTCTACGTCAAAAATTTATTAAATAAAGTTTCGTAAAATGGATACTTAAAATAAATTTTTTAACCATTTATATTCAACTTTTCATTAAAACTTTACAAAGTTTATAATGAAAAAATACCGCTAAAACTGTAACATTACGTAAGTGTCTAAATTTATTTAATTTTTAATATAACGAATTTTTGTTACTCTGGGTAACCGGTAAATGCTGTACGTACAGTACACGAATAACGAACATTTAATAACTAAATAATTACAAACAATATACTAAAAATGTAAAATAAATTGGAAATAAAATTAATGAAACATACTTACTAAAAAAAAAGAGTTAAACAGAAATTGATAAATTTTTTCTTCTGAAAATTAAAATTTCAATTAAACGGGAACCGCGATCGAAAAGTTCTCAATGCATCTGATACAAAGTTGCTTGCTTGCCATACAAATGGTCTACGTGACCAAATGTGACTTACTCTCACTTATTCTTATCGCTATCTCATCTGACATAATTAATTCACTCACAAGTCGTTCATATCTCTCTCTCTCTCTACTTTATAGTTTGTAAACACACAATCATTAATTTCTTTCTCTTTATTTATTTCTCCATATCTCTCTCTTTCTTTCTCTTTTTTTTCTTTTTTAAATAATTTGTTATTTTATTTTACCCATTAATATTTTCCCGCTGGTTTGAAAACACACATACACGTTCCATGCACACACGTACACGTTCCATGCATACACATACACGTTCCATGCACACACACACACATCCACATGCTATAGGCTTATGTGCGTGCGGGTAAAATCGAAATGTGCATAGGCTTACTTCCTATATGAAATACACACATGTGTGTGTGTGTGTGTATGTGTGTGTGTGTGTGTGTGTGTGTGTGTGTGTGTGTGTGTGTGTGTGTGTGTGTGTGTGTGTGTGTGTGTGTGTGTGTGTGTGTGTGTGTGTGTGTGTGTGTGTGAAGTTGTTTCTAATATTCTAATAATTTCTATTACAAGGCTTGATCTCTTATTGTTAAATCAATTACCGTAAAAACCGTCATAAAGTTACAATATTTTACCCACGCTTTTATTTCAATTATCTAAGTTATATGATATCACATCATCATCTCTATCATTTCACTAGTGCCGTATTCTGCATCACCATCACTTTCTTCTTCTTCATCATCATTATCACTTTCTCCTTCATCATCATCTTTATCACCATCATCGTAAAAACATCAAAAAAACATTTTACTGAAATCGATATGCGAGCGAGCTAGCAGCGTTTAAATGCTAACGATTAATTAAACGAGAAATATGTATACGTATTTGATACAAACGCACACGCAATTCCGTTTACCTGAGCTTGTAATTTTTATTTGTTTATGTATCTACATCCACATCATCAAAATATTTGCGTTCTTGATTTAGCTCTACCAAAAAACGCCTTTAAAAATACTACACACACATACTAGTAAAAATAATCTATGTTTTATATGTTTAATCTATGTTTTATATGTTTAATCTATGTTTTATATGTTTAATCTATGTTTTATATGTTTAATCTATGTGTGTTCGTCGTTTTTAAGGTAAACGCTTGAAAAATTTGTTACTTTTTTTGGAATTACGCCATTCAACAATTGACTGAATAGCCTGCGAATGGCTATAAATACCCTGCTCATGCATTCAAATGAATCGTACAAATTATACACTCACGCACATGCACATAAATATATTAAACACATACACACACACACACACACACACACATATATATATATATATGTGTGTGTGTGTGTTTTTGTGTGTGCGTGTCGAGTACAACATTGTACAACACCGCAACATAAAAATAACACGATACACGTTACAAATATTCGATTTAACAAATTTAAAAAAACGCATATGCAAATTAAACGGCTTAGAATAGTGCCACAAACACAACACACACACACACACACACAAACAAACATACTACTAATAAGAACACATAATAAAGACCACCAAAACTAATACTAACTTTATTCCAATGTTAGCCCTTACCAAATACATTTATATCGCCACTACTGGCATTTCAGTAGTAATCGTTACAGCCGCTACTACTTCTAATTGCACTAATATAAATACATAAATTACTTCTACTATTAGTAACATTACTGCAATTTATCTTATACTCAAAAGAGCATTTGTTCGAATGATGTTATCTTATCGTTCAGTCAGTCAGTCAGTCTAGAAATACATGTAAAAGGGTGTACTAGTATTTTGATTGTTATTACGTTAGTATAAATTGGTATTATTGCATATCACATTAACATTTAATATATTTATTACATTACAAAACCTGGATTGAATCGAAATCTTATCTGATAACAAATTACAAATTGTAATTTCGGGTAATGTTTTTGATAAAAATGTAAAGTTGTAACATTTAACGCCATTGTTCATTGGACCAGGAAGACTTATACATTTAATTATAAAATGTTAGAATTTAAATTACTGAAAAATGGCTCGTGAATGTAGGAAGTATTAAAAGGCTTAGAAAGAGTAATTACCATGTGCCTGCTGTATACGTAATTACCAATTGCGTTACAATTATCCCAGCTAATGTTAATAAATATTTATACCGGAGCTAGCTGATGATTTTAAAAAAATTATTCATCTATATCAGTGCTAGCCGGTACCCTTGCTTAAACTGTTTTGTAGTTTCTCAAGTATCTGATGTATAAAAATTAATGTAGAACACATCTCATTGATTCGTTCGATGTGCAACCAAAATTTTTGTCTCTGTGCAACCAACGTTTTTGTCTCCAACCAACAGTTTGTCTCTTTGTGCAACCGACACTTTGTATCGCTGGGCAACCGTCATTTCAAGATTCGTTGTAGCCTGTTATCTGGTTTTAATCATTCACCAATCCACCATTCTATCATCATCATTGTCATCATCATCGTCTGTCATCATCACTGTTGTTATCTTTTAAAATGGGTCTCGTCATCATCCACCATCATCATCTTCGTCTTGCAACAAAAGTATCAAACATCATATCATCTATGAAGAACAAACAAACATACAGACAGGCAGACAAACAGACAAACAGACAGACAGACAAACAGACAGACAGACAGACAAACAAATGATACAACCACGCAATGACACAATTTCAATTAGCTAACCTCTCTGAACATTATTTAACCTCTCTTGAAACACATTTGCTTGCGTTCATCACGTAGCATATCAAATGCCACACCCACACACACACACGCACACACACACACCAAACAGTATAAAAAATAAGCTTACGATACGTATATCAATTATTTATTTGATAATGTTTGTATATTTTATATATACCTTTGTAAACAATCCACATGTTTAAGCATAAATACGTACAAATACAAACACAGATATACAACCTATAACACAAACATAATCACACATAAAATAAAATATGTATGTGTATGTGTGTGCATGTGATTGTGTGTGTAAGTGTGTTTATTTCATCTATAAACAAGGCTGGTAATAAAAATTCTTTTAACTTTAATCATACTTGAAGATAACGTTTGGTTAGCTAAAGTTGAAATCTTTCAGAATCTGCATGTGTAAACGCATACATGTATAATATGTTTTGTTATATATATATATATATATATATGTGTGTGTGTGTGTGTGTGTGTGTGTATGTGTGTGTGTGTTTGTGTGTGTGTGTGCGTGTATGTATATTAAACTTAGAATTGTTGAATAAACATGTAATGTGATACAATACTATAAAAATTCACTTTGCCATCTGGATAGATTAGACGCTGTTGTGAATATTATTTGTGTGTTATAATGAAAACGGGCAAATGCTTTTTTAATAAAACTGTTAATTAAATTACATTTTATTACAATAAATATTATTAAAATGTTTAATTAACCGTCAACTGTGTCATATGCACAACATGTCTGTACATTCCTATCCTACCTACGTGTCAATGTCAATATATTTTTCTATTATTTTACAACAACTTACAAATTAAAAAAGTGTAACATTGGGATAATTTCTTTTCATATAAACTTAACAAAATGAATGCAGTGCAGCACATATCATCCAGCGTAAAATCCATGATTGACAGAAATATTATACTAAATAGCATATACATTGCGTGGTCCTATTCATTAGTAATTATTACACATACTCGCTTGTTACTTCCTAAAGAACGGAAAGAATCATAAATCAAAATAATCTGCAAATTCATGCCATTCTCCTCTTCTTCACACAAACGCACACACACAAACAAACATACACAAACAAAAACATACAAACACACCACACAAACACATACAATCTCTCACAGGCAATCTTTGCACGTGTGAGCGTTCGCACAGGCACATAAAGAAATCATCTTTACTGCATTTCTCCAAGGTCGCCGTTCGTTATAATAATTAAAGCTGCAATCATAAAACATTTTTAATTGTGTCAGGTTATTATTATTATTCTTCTCTTTCTACTTCTGAAGTCTCACTCATCTGTGTTTGCATGAATAATTTTAAATTTGTTGAAATGATCATCGAAATTAGTTCTTTCGCCATCGACAATGCTTGTTCAACACTAATGCCCACTACATCAACTAAAAAGAACATACAAACTGCAAAAAATGCATTACATAAAATAATTTATTATCTAAAGATAATGAACACAATGCAGCATTACCCGAAAAAGCAACAGAAATTACACAGTACCACATCCTTCCCAATACCATAACAAATACACAATACAGCATGATTTACATACAAAACCACAGCAAATACACAACAATACTACAAAAAGCACAACAGAACAAATGTTATCAGGACGTTTCTAACAAACTCCGATACAAATTCGACCTAGAGGAAAGAGAAAAAATAAAGTAAACAAACACATAAATATTATTTGCATGCATAATGAAAATAACAAGAACGATAGCATAACTGCTAAAAATAAGAATAAAAATAAAACCATAGCGTTGGCTAGGCTGTGCGCTGCTGAATGTTTGAATGCTGGCAGCGAAAAATTTTATCGACTTTTGTTGTAATAATATAAATGGAACAATAAATATTACTGCTTATAAAATCGATTTATTAATATATGAAAAATGGCATTACAATGCTCATAAACGTTATAAAAAATGCAGGTTCATCAATTCTCACGTGAGATTGTTGTCAACAATTATATATCAATAAAATAATTATTTTGTAGTTTTTTTTCGAAATTTCTTGAATTAGTAATATTTTGCTTATCATCATATTCATATGTTAACTGCTTGCAATTCAAACATTTGAACATTTAGTTTCGGTCGAAAAGCAAGTTAGTACTTATTATTAAATCATTTGATTAAAAATTAAGAGTGAAATCAGCCAAGGACCTAAGTTGATATTTAATCAATCTTATTCGTATAGACATCTACTTTTTTTTTATAAAATGTCACTTGAGGACATATCTGCATAAAATGCAACCTTTGCGTCCACTTACCTATGTCAAGTTGTCTAAACTTTTCTGTTGTTGGTTTTCAGAGATATCTACCCAACGACTTCAATATAAAACAGTTAAGGGACAATGTTGAAATCTGCAGAACATGTAGCTTTCGACGATCGAAAACTGACAAATGTTTGAGAATATCTTAATTAGCTGATAAATTACTTAGTTCCACATATGAACTCAGCTACACGTAGGCTTGTGGCCACACACGCTGTCGACTTCGTCGCCACAAAACGCAACCTCGACCATCTGCGTAGTACGCAATAAAATGGTATTAAAAGCTGATTTATTACCGCCTGCAGAAGTGCTGCGAGCAACCTGGTCTGAAGTGAAAATCAATACCTACCTGGCTGGTTTATTCCTATCACTGCATTAAACTTGGTGTACAGCCGTGCCTACGACGCAGTTATATACAAGAGCCCCAAGCGGATAACATGAGATTGAAACGGCCAATTTATGTTGCCTTTTCGCGGGCGCGGTGCGAATAATGATCAGTGCATATGCGGGCGGTTGCGGTTTGGAAAAATCCTCTCTGCTTGGGGCTCTAGTATGCACTCAGTAAGCAACGCCTAGGGTGAACAGATCATGGTATGAAAAATTGAAAAAATTACGTAACGGTTGAAAACTTCTTTCAGTGACCTGACCCGTTGTTTCGCGTGTATTTACTGGCACTGTGTGAATGTTGTTCATAGCTCGGAAAAATATTGGGGAGAACTGCATTGAATAAAATTGTTATATAATAAAATTGTAATAAAATAAAAATAATAAAGTCATTTTCACCATACCCAGTCAACATTATTATCATCAACAATCAAAAAATTATAAAGCGATTCAAACCATGGATATAACAGATTCATAAATCTCATCATCAAAATAATTACCGGGAAGGGAAAGAAAACATGATCTATAATTTTCGATTAAAATGATTTAAATTTTTCAAAATAATTTGACGAAAACGTAAATTTAAATTTCGTAACACTAACTTTTACGACGGCAATGATGTATTGACGGTTAAATACAAAAATCGTTAGTTACATTTAAACTTACAGCGGTAACAAATTTATGACAATTCCTTTTTCTTCAAAACGTGTATATCGTACGCTGAGGCCTGTCGACCAGCCAGCTGGCCAACAAACATTTTGTGTATCACTATTACTTATCGTGTGTGTGCGTGCGTGTATGTTTGTATTTTAAACAACAAATTTTATATCTTTCCCTAACATACACAGAGAGAAACAGTTTTTTGTACGCTAATACATAACGATAACTACAAGGTTGATTCATTGTTATATATCAAAAACGTCGAAATTTTCATTACCAAATAATACATTTTCAGGCTCTGGAGATTGAGTACTAGATGAATCTAGCAAAAAAACTAGCTTAATTCACTTATATCCGCGCCACATTCTTAAAAATCGAATTATAGTGCGAGATCTGCAACATAGAGAGCTAACTATTCCGTCAATTCAAATCAAAAACGTCGGGATTTCCATTACCGAATTTTACATTTACAAGACCAGATTAAGTATTAGTTGAATCTATTAACAAACTACCAGCTTAATTCACTATATCAACGCCACAATTAAGCAAAATTAAGTAACGGTTGAAAACTTATATTTCTAAATTAGGCTCCCTATTAGTTTCAAGTATTTTTAAAGTAAACAAAAAATGACATATACCAATAAAATTAAAAACTAACAACATTCGTAAAAATACTTTTTAAAAGAACAAATGAACAGAATTTGAAAAACTAATTTTGCAATTTTGAAAATGAAATATAACCAACAGACGCAGTAATATATACAGCGGTGATAATGCCTAACAAATCTGTACAACAAAGCCACGTTCAGTCACTTCACAGGGAAAACAAACATTTTGTTTCCAGTTTTAAGTCTCAGTTCGTTGACTTCAAATTGGCGTAAATATTCAAACATCTTCAGGTAGTCAGCTAGAATTTTCTTTAAAAAAAAAACAGTTTTAGAACATAAAATTTATGAATGAAATATAAAAGAGAAGTTTTTATAACACACTAAATTTCTTATAAAAAAAAACAATGAATAAAAAAGATTTTAACAAAAGAATTTTTTAGAAGCTGTACTAATTGACTATGAAGGAAATGAATATTGAAAAAAGAGACGAATAACTTACTTGAATTTTGTTTAAGACGTTGGCACTTATCTGCTTCCGGACATCCCCAACACACCACAAGACACTTATGTGGAAGTCAGGATTCTTAAATTTTTAAAAATGAAATAAAACCTGACCTCTTGTGAAGAAAAATAATTTTTAAGAAAGATATTGTCCATAGAATGTTCTGCTAACAATAAACACATATTACGAAAATGTGAAAGACTTCTCCTTTCAATAAAATATGGCAAAATAATATACAAGTGTGTGTGAATAATCTTTCGATAAGAATTCAAACGTTATCAAAAATTAACATTAAAAAATGTTCATGATGAATTCGGCAACACTTTTATCAGACCTGGTTTGTATAACTCAGTTTAGGAACATCAGCAAAAGTTTTCTAATTTTAATCATTTTAAAAGGGAATAAAGATCTATTGAATAGGAATTAACTTCCATAAGAAGCAAATGAAACAGTTGATAGAGCCATATTAGCAATATCAATGAAAATAAATGAATTACTTTGTAAAAAGAAGGCAGTTCAAATTGCTTCAGAGATTCATCAATGGAATGTACATAATTCATCATTTCGGTGGAATCCACTTTTATACCAAGAAAGGTTCTTGACTTTTCATCATTTGTGTAAACTTCTAAAGTGCCTAAATTTAATCTACTTCTGAAAATTGATTTCAAAAATTTTTATTAGTTGAGAATGATATTCTGTTAAATTGGCGTACTTTAAAAGAAAATGAATCAACAAACAAATTTCATGGTTTTAAATTTTCTTCTAGCCAAAAACTTCACAAGCTATTCATATTTTCACTAAGACAAATAATGTAGAAATGTTTCCATAACTCAAACAAATTTTTCTCTATAGCAAATAACTCAAACCTTTTAAACGTATTGTAGATTCTTGATTTGAGATCCTGGACCAGTGCATCAATCCAGTGATGGAGGAGTACAACAGTTCTGGATAGGGATATGTGCATGTCTTCCACAACATGAAACTGGCCAACTGGTTCTAATGCTCTGATGACGTCATTGCATACATCTGTCAAGTCATGAGGATCTGCATTTATTTCATTAAAATTACTATCTTTTTGCAATATGATTATTAGATGATAGCATACATGCTCAGTATATGCACATCATTTAATCAACAACACCTCTACACCTACATACATACACACACATACACAAACACACACACACATAGATACATAAACATACGCAACAACAACATACACTGAATGCTTACAAAGGATGCCCAGTTTCCTCTCTCATGTTTGAACGACCTCAACCTACCTTGGTGCTCATCTGGGTTATCAACGTGATGGCTTTCTGATTCACTCTTGGTTTTGAATTTGGAGAGAAATGATTCTGGTAGTGGAGGCAGTGTTTTTCGTCTGATTCATTTATTTAATAAAAACAAATTTATAATAAAATTAATTTTTGAGCATGTTGTACTCATATTATTTTATTTTATAAATAAGGTAGGATAAAAAAAAACAAAAAGAATGACTCTTCTATGCCTACAATTCCAAATTCAAATGCAATAAAAAATCACATTAATATTAAATTAATAATAGAATAGAGCAGTTAATTAAAGTTAGTTTTTTATAAAACTTTTATATTAATAAAATAAATTATATATAATAATAGCAGAAAAAAGTAAATTATTCCAACTTTTTGCATTGAGGAGACTCTTCCTGGTCGGAATCTGCGGACGAGCTGGATGACGAGTAGTTCACTAAAAAATTTCCAGCCATTATTTCCATCCAAAAGATGCCTCTGAAACGGAAAAAGACAACGAAATGACAAAAAATTAAGTGGAAAACCATGAAACGTAGCTTCGTTATTCTTTATTATCGTTAGTTAGATCGGCATAGATGCTAAATTTTATTTTTGTGCGAACATTTTCGCTTTCGTGTATTTATTTACCATGAGTATACATAATGGTGTTTGGTTTTAGGGTTTTTACGTATACAACACACACATACACCCCACACATAAACACAAACACACACACCATACAATTAAACATACACACTGAATTTGAGTACCAAAATGAAATGAATTATATAAATAAATAAATAAATATACATATAATATATAGTTAGGTATAAGGCCATTACACATACAAGTTTCATTAAATTCCATCGCTGTAGTATTATTCATTAAAGCTGTCCTCTAAGTTATAAGGAGCAGCGTTAACGTCGTTCATTAATTAGTTAAGAAAGGTCAGAGACCTGTAAATAGCATGCGAACAATGTTTGTGATTGTGAATAACGTATAAAATATAAAAATTAAATGTTGTAATCATCGGTGGAGTTCAAGTACTATAGTTCAACTTCTATATTATAATTCCATAATCACACTTCAAGCTCGCGTTTGCTTATCTTAGTACGTGTTATTACCTCTTCTGATGTTTCAGGACAACTGTCAAACGCATTTCCCTCAAAGTTTGCTGGAGGTCGTCAGCAAAGTTCTGCGTTAACTGTGTTATACGAACTTTTGTGATTGTTTAACAGATAGGTGGACAAACAATTACAAGTTGTTGAAACAAGATGACTTTATCAGAAGCTATTTTTTATTTATTTACATCCTTTTGTCATTGTTTTGTTATATTAAATAAATGTTTCTGATGTGGTTCAACAAGAGTTTCTCGAGTAAATGAAGTTTATTTTATCATAATAAGCTTATTAACTTACATACATTTAAATAATTTTTCAGCAAGACTAAGAAAGTTTTAACAATATCATTTGGCCACCATGAACATAAAAAATATTACAGGCAAAAATGTTATAATATTTACGACTAAGGTCAGAGATAACAAATGAAGAGTTAAGTAAAATTAACATATGGTTAAGTCATGTCGTTGAAATTCAAAATATACTTCACGCGGTTAAGTTAGAATTCAATTTTTGAAAAAATATCTTGTTTGGTTAAGAAAACGTCCTTTACAATATAAAAATAAGGATGAACTAATTGGGCTAACTAACTTACAGCTCTGAGTCCTGGACTATTTTTAAAGAAATGGAAAAAAGATTAACGCTGCTGAGATATGGTTTTTGAGAAAAATTATGAAAATTAGTTGGACCTCTCATAATTCGAATGAGGTTGTATTAAAACATTCCGGTTATGAAAAGAGGAAATTACTACAAATAATCCAACGGGGCAGTTAAAGTTTTTGGTCACATCGTGCGGAAGGAAAGAATGGAAAATTTAACAACTACTGAAAAGATTGCAGGGAAAAGAGATCGCGGTCAACAACGAATAACATTTTTGAATATCACCACATTTCAACTACTCAACTACTACAAAGTGTTAAAGATTGGGTTTTGTGGAGGTCGATGGTCGAGAAAAAAGAAGAAGAATTTGGCAGAGAAGCGTGACTGATAATATTTGTGATAAAATAAGTTACTAGAGCTAATCTAACCGTATCAAAGAAATAATAACATTAGAGAATAGATATTTATCTTACTTTTAACAAATACTTTCGCGAAAAAATTTTGCAAATTTCAATAAAAAACTTTATTTTTAGGTTTTTTAACATGAGTTAACATTATTGTTACTTAACTGTTTAATATTAAGGCAAACTAGGCTTTTACAATAACACTCATTCATTTATTGGCGAGATTTTATCTGCAGAAGACTGTATTGTATGATTTTAAAAAATAAATTTTAATCCGACAGAATAGTTGATTTACCATTGGTGTCAAGAAATTAAGAGACCTCACGCGAATTCGTTTCACACCAAATTACATGCTGATAATCGAGCTGTCGTGCTGATAAGAGAGTGCGTCTCGCAATGATATCTCTATCATTATTTTCAATGACATTTTCTTTAAATTTTCAATTATTCATTCTAAACTTTTTGATTTTCGTCACACTTTCACCTTTAATTTTAAAATTTATTTTGTATTGTCAGCAAGGACTCGATTTTATTGTAAAAATTAATATTTTTTTACGACATATTCAGATATATATTGAGTTATATGATATAAAAAAAGGATATCATCACCGTCTCATTATCTTCTATATACAATTATCATTTCTATATCATCGTCAACATCATCATCATCAACAACAACATCATCATCACCAACAACAACATCATCAGCATCATTATCACCATCATCAAATCATCATTTAATTCATCCTCACATTTTTCTCCATCACCATCATCACATCTATGTAATGGTAATCATCGAAATTTCTGGCGAATGGTCAATAAAGTTGAAATCATCGCGTTTAAATTCTCGTTAACATCTCGCGGGATCCAACGGAGTTATGATGGAAAAACAACAGGTGCATCTAGGTATGTATGTAAGTATATGTGTGCGTATGTATGTATGTTTGTTTGAATGTGTTTGTGTGTATGTATGTATGTTTGTATGTATGTTTGTATGTGTTTGTTTGTGTGTGTGTATGTATGCGTATGTATGTGTGTGTGTATGTATGCGTATGTATGTGTGTGTGTATGCCTGTGTGTATATGCGCGTGTGCGTGTTTGTGTGTGTATGTATGTGTGTGTGTGTGTGTGTGTGTGTGTGTGTGTGTGTGTGTGTGTGTGTGTGTGTGTGTGTGTGTGTGTGTGAACGTACGTATGTCTATGTAGTTATGCGCACGTGTCTATGGTAATTATATTCTTATTACAAAGCGTGAATGATAGCTCATAAGTATGTGTAAGTGTGTTAGCAAATGTGCGTGGGTGTAATGTGGTAACTTGATCATGTAACTGTATGTGCGTGTGTGTGTGTGTGTGTGTGTGTGTGTGTGTGTCTGTATGCGTGTGTGTGTGTGGTGTGTATCAATAATATTGGGCGTGTAAGATGAGTTAAATGGACCAATTAGTTGAAATGTTTCACTAAACATCTTCATTCATATCTGTATGCTCTTATGACGTCATGATGGTTATGATAGTGCTGCTGCTGCTGCTGATAATGATGATGATGATGGTGGTGGATTATGGTGATGATGATGACGATGATGATGGTATAATAAAACCATTTTTTGCCATTAGTATTAAACGATTGATAATAGAACTATTTTCAATTTGTTGTGTGTTACTCAGAATGATACGAGTTTAAATAACTATTGTTACCATAACCACCTACGTTTATTATTATTATTATTATTTATATTATTATTATTGTTTTTATTATAATAATAATTATTATTATAATAATAATTATTATTATAATAATAATAACAATTATTATTATTATTATACAGTCGGCTTACAACGTTTTAATATTTGTGGAATGAGCTTTTGTAATATGTATAGAGTTGAATATTCCATAATCGCGCCAGGATTGTTTGCTTTCTCATGTTCTCTCAGTTGTAAGTTAGGTGAGAATTTTTGCAACAACAAAATGATCTACGACAAAAGCAGTATGCATTATTATCATCGTCGTCGTCATCATCGTCTTCATCATCGTTGTCATCATTATTCTCATCATATTCTTTTCTTTATCATGTTGCTAAATTAACCTTACATAAAAACGAAATATGTGTGTTTGTTTGTTACACGTCTTAAGCTTAATAACCATTGTTGTGTTATACTGGTACTTATTTATGCAACCAATATTTTAGTTAATTTATCTATTAAAATTACAAATTGACTTGAAAAAACTTTGAAGTTCATATTAATTTTAAAATAACACATTCGCTTATTCTTATTTGATATCGAATTAAACCTTATTGCCCAAGAAGTCCAGTTATTATTTAAACTCCACCCACATTTTGTTCACGCTCCGCCTACTACAACGTTTGCCAGCAGGTTACTAACTTGATTGGCAGCTGTATGTATTCGGATATATGCAATTTGTAAGCGTGCTTCCGAATTTATTCTCGCTTGACCAAATCATGGATACACTTGAGATCCCTTTTTGAATTATTTTTGGCATCATGGAAGAAAGTAAATCGAAATCTCATGCCCGAATTGACTCAAAGTTAACACTACTTACCAATAACGTTACGATCGGTATAAACAAAAATGTCAATAACAACAACAACAACATCAACATTAATGGCTTTGAAACAAACAGCCATAATAACAACAACATCTACGACAACAACAACATAACTGTTGCAAAATCTGTAGCGATTTGTAATCCATTTTCCTTCAACACAAACCTTGTTGCTTCTTCAACTAATGATTTGTACTTCCAAGACCATTTCAACAGTTCAGACTACAATTTTGTTGACGGAGCCGCAAATGAGATTGGAGAGGATGATAGCATCATCAACAACAACAACAACATCATAATTAGCAACGACATCAACAACAGCACATTTAATGTCAACAACAGCAACAACAACAACTACTACTACAATAACGAAAACAACAACGTTATTACTGTCAATAACAACAACATTAATAGTATTTATATTGACAACCAGCATCAATGTAATTTTGACAACAATTACAACAACAACAACAGTAACAACAATGCTGAAAGACACAACAAAATATTACATCACATGTGCAACACTAGCAACAACTTTGTTGTTAGCAATAACATTTACGATATCAACAATAGTAACAAAGATAGCAACAATAATACCAATGACAATATTATCAACATCAACAACATTAACAACGCAATGATCAATAATATTAATAACATTAACATCGATAACATTAACCATATTAACACAAAATCTGTCTATCAGAACAACATCTTTAACAATAACAATAACAGCAACAACAATAAAGATAAGGATAGCAACCACATCAACCACAATTTTTTCAACATCAGTTCAACAATTCAAAGAAGAATATGTTGTTTCAAATTCAAGCCTGCCGCACACAAACAACAACAACAACAGCAGCAACAACAACAACAGCAGCATCAACAACAACAACAACAGCAACAACAACATCAACAACAGCACGCTTTACAAAAACAACAACATATTAAGTGAATGCGAGATCAAAAGCAGCCAAAACAACAACAAAATTTGTTACAATAACAAACCCCGAGACCACAGTTCTTTCAACTCATGTTCTTTTGATCTGGGTTCACCTTGTAAACAGTTCGAACGGTCGGAACAACTGTATCAACATAAAACATCGCAGCAACATTTTCAGGCGCAACCGCAACAACAACATAAACATCAGCAGCAGCAACATCATCATCAGCATCAACAGCAACTACATCATCATCCTCAACAACTACAATATTTTTTCTGTCAAAATAGCTACCAAAATAATGCTACACGTTATAACAGCCAGCAACAATTTATACAACGAAATTTTTCAACACTATCTAATAATTATTTCAGACCACTCCTGAACAAAACAGAACCAACTCAACGACAACTGCAACATCAGCCACAACTGAATCAACAACATCTGCAACAAATGTATTATCAACCTTGCTACCATCCTCAACAAAATCACTATATTGAACATCAACACCCCAACCAATGCTACCAACAAACTCAACTCTCAACAAACTTTACGCGTCCGTTTACGCAGCCGCTTCATCCGCAGCAGCAGCAGCAGCAGCAACAACAACAACAACAACAACACAAACATCATCAACCAAATTACTTTGCTATAGACGCACAAAACTCACCAAAAGGTAAAGTACTACCAGTAACAACAGTCCCATCAACATCAATGGTCATTGTAAATTCAAAAACAACACTTACAACAAAAACAACAACAGCAGCGGCGGCGGCAGCGTTAACAACGACAACGATGTCAGTTGCATACCGAAATGTTCCTACTATTCAACAACGACGACAACAACAAAATAATGCTCAACCATTTTGCACTTTCTACTCAAATTCACTGCACAATCGTTACAATAGTTCGTATTTTCGTTCAAACAACGACAAAATTTTTACAACAACCGCCATGTTTAACAACAACAAAAATGTTAATATCATTAGTGCCAACAACAGCAACACATCTAACATTAGCAGATATTCTTTCAACTACTACCACCAAGGCAACAACTACCCCTACTACAACAACAATCCAACAACTTTCAAAATGGAAACAGCATCGACGTACCTAGCAGCAACAACCACAACTACAACGACATCATCATCATTAATTCCGACATCAACTTCTACTTCCTCCTCCTCTTCCTCATCATCATCAAACAAACCCCCTCTAAGCTACATCGCCCTCATCAGCCTGGCCATCATGAACAAGGACGATAGGATGGTGACGTTGAGTGACATCTACAGTTTCATCATGAAAAAGTTCAGTAGCTACTTGTCACTGATCCGCTATTTCATCATATTATTCATTATTGTATAACTAATTATATATATTTAGTATTAATTAATTTTAATTAATCGTCAATTATATAATTATATAATTAACCAAATGGGCCAAAATTGTAAGAGTAGATGTGAAACTTCTTTATGAACAATTTTGAAACTCGATCTGAGAAGCAATGAAGAAATGAAAAGTGATTGAAAGTGAAGGCTCGTGGAAGATTTTTAACTTCGAAAATATAAAAACGCACGAAATTATCTATTGACATGATCTTTTTCGGCGTATTAGAGGAAAAATACATGAAATATAAACAAAAGACTTAAAAGGCATTGAAATTCTGCAAGAGTAACAAAGCGCCCTTCGAGTTCCACGTTCCAACTTCGATTTAGTCCTAGCTGGCTGCACACCTAGCTAGCTGCAAGTTTTGAAAGCGTAGTTTGACTATCTTAGAATCGAATGAATAGAAAAATATTCCCTGCAAAAAATCTGTTCAATTTATGGGCTGAATTCTCCAAGAAATCTAAATGTGGAATTGTAATTTTTGATGTTTAAATAGGAATAGGTTAACAAAAGCGTTAATTGTAAAATAAAAGTTAATTGAATATGACTATTGCATATGACTTATGAATGAATGAATGAACAAACGAACTAACGAACCAATGGATGAATGAATAAGTGAACAAATGAATGAAAGCAGTAGAGAAGTAGAGATATCCAAATTGTGTTGATAAAGTGTAAAAATAAAATTGACTTCAATTTTAGTCTTCCTTGCACAATTTTCAGCAATTTCTTCATCCTATTTATTTATATAGGTACGCAAAATTAATTTTAAGTCACATTGTTTTTCTTGAGGAGGTTATTAAGCAAACTGCGTTAAACATTCGAAACATTGTCGGGATAGGCAAAATTTGTTAAACTATCAGAGTCAGGATGTTCAAGTAGCCTATTGGACTATCGTTTAGAGGTTTAAGCTTTTTTCAATAAATGTTCCGTATTTTTACGAGATATTGAAAATTGTTTAATGCTCTTTATTTTGCAAAAAAATAATACTTTTGGACACGTTAGGCTGAGCGCTTGCAAAACAAATCATTGAAATAATATAACTTTTTTTATTCTGATTTTTAGAGTGAAAATTGTAAACTAGAAACAGCTGATAAAAATTTACTTTCTTATTTTCAGCTTTCCATACTACCGCAAAAACAGGCAAGGCTGGCAGAACTCCATCCGACATAATCTTTCTCTGAACGAGTGCTTCATCAAGCTGCCTAAGAAGAAAAATCAGGATGATGACGTCAACGATGGCAGCAACAACAACGATGGCAATAATATCGCAGCAAACGGCAACAACAACATCTGCAACAACGACGACGACGATTCAACCAACTTCAGCCAACCAACCAACGACGGCAGCTCAGACGACAGCAACAAAGATGAAACCACCAAACATTTCAACACAAGCAAAGACAGCGAAAACGGTCACCCAGCAATAGCAGCAACAGCAGCGGCTTCAACAGCTGCAAGCACCGACAAAAAAAGTAAAATTAGCAAAAAAAAGTTCACCACAGCGCAGAAGGGATGTTATTGGACGTTGGATCCGTCCTGCTACGACATGTTCAAAGATGGAAGCTACCTTAGGAGGAAGAGGAGATTTAAGAAAGTTTAACTATCTCATCCGTATTTCAGTTGTCTCACCTATCAGTTCAGTCTGTGTGCGTGACTCTGCGTGTGTATGTGTGCGATTTATTATTTTTATATTCGGACCAAAGTTTGATCAAATGGTGTAAAATAGCAACAAATTTGTTTCTCACCTGACATCTTGCAAACTAAATAAAAATTAAACGCAATTGAGAATTTAAGTGCTCGACTTAGATTAATTTTATTTTTAGAAAGAGTTTCAAACAGTTTTTTAAGAATTAATTTTAAATCTCGAAAACTACAATTTTTATTACCAATAAAATATCAAATTATCTCTCAGGAAATAGATAAACGAGTTTCTACAAATACAGTAAAAAGTATTTTTGTTGTTTTTCTTTATTTTGTTTTTGTTGTTACCCACACGCACAGTTTACAAAAAAAAATTTGTGAAAGTCTCGAAAACATTCATAAAAATAAAAAATACAATAAACTATTATATGATAGGATAAAATATCATAAGATATCATGATACAATATTGAAACGATATCATACAATGCATAAAAAACACAAGTATCTAAAGTTTTAAATAATAATAATACTGCTTTGAATACATCGTAAATTGTCAGTTCCAACGTCATTTTAATTACCACCGCACTATCATCGTCATCCTATCACCATCATAATTACCATAATCTTCATCAACATCATCACTACTTCACCCCTTAAACCATCACAACTATCAACCACACCACCACCATCATCATCTTCGTTGTCCTCTTCACCATCATCTTCCGCCGACGCAACAGTTACATGGATATTTGCGCATTTTTAGCTAGCACGTTCTTCTGGTAGTCCGTCTTGCAGTATAGAACCCCGTCAGCCTGACTGTAGTTGTTTAACCTGTGATGGTACGGAAGAAGAATGTTTTCAACGCGGTTAGAACAAATTAATTATAAGATTTAATTGAAAATGGCGTGAAACAAAATAAGACATGAAAATTTGAATACATAAGTTCCTCATTATTTTACACCCGATTTTACATATGTACACTCACATACGCATGCACACGCAAACACATAGACGGACACATGCATACAAACACACGTAAACACAGACACACACGTGCATAGAGACACAAGTACAGGAGGTTCATTAGACTATCGATGCAACTCTAAAAACTTATAAACAATTTTTCCAATAGCTATTCTCAGTGAGAGACAAAATGGAATAAAACGAAATAAAATGAAATCTATCTACCACACAATACTACACACGCACGCACACACAGACACGCACACACAGACACGCACGCACACAAACACACACCAAATCATGGTTCATGCATTTACAAAAGTACCCTACAGCAAGTAGTGCATTGGTACTCTGAAGTTGTACACAACACAGTACAACTCGTCCACAATAAAGATGATGATGACGACGATGGCTAGGATGATGATGATGGTGACTCATGCATTGTTGAAATGTTTTAGTAACTGGATGTACGTTCTCGCAATGTGCTGTATACATCATCAATGTATCTAGATAGACACACTCACACGAGCAGAAAGAAGAGGAGATAGAGAGAAACAGGAGATAGCTGTGGGTAATAGGAGAGAGAGAGAGAGAGAGAGAAAGAAAGAGAGAGAGAGAGAGAGAGAGAGAGAGAGAGAGAGAGAGAGAAGACAAAGAGAGAAGAGCAAATTTAAGTAAAATGGGCAAAACTTAAAAAAAACAAATCAACTGGTTTATGGGTTTATAATATGATTACACAGCTTATAAATCTTATCAGTCCAGATAACTTACTATTTTTAACTCATGATTTATCAAACTACTTAATTAAAAATTATGGTTGTTAGGTAGGCTATTAATTATTATTAATCTTATTATTATTATTATTAATCTTATTATCTTTAAATTATTATCCACACAACTTTTTAGTCTGACTGTTCGGTGCATTATTTCAACAACTTAATAATTTAGACACAAAACTTCTCTTGGAGCAATTAAAATAATTGAGACTTATTAATCGCTTGTTAAAAATATTCTCGTTAAATTTTATTCCAATGTTCCTTTTAAAACCATATGAACACGTACGTAAACATTCGTTTTTAAATTCCTGTTTAGTTGCATGGCAGTTGGATTAACAACAATAAGACGGTTGTTCATCTGATGAATTGAGTCACGCCATGACGTCATGGTTATTTATTTATCGTGCTGCTGTCGTTATTCGTTCAATTGCATTCATTCATTCATTCATTCATTCATTCATTCATTCATTCATTCATTCAATCATTCAATCATTCATTCATTACACTTTGATTTGTAAGCAAGCACAAAAACAGCTGATTATTTTGTTATCGTTAGTTTATAAATATTCAATATAAATTAATTAACGAAGGAATGAATGAACCAATGAAAAAGTGAACCAACGAATGAATAAATAAATGAACCAACGAATGAATGAACCAACGAAAAAAAAATGAATCCACGAAAAAATGAACGAATGAATGAATGAACGAACGAACAAATAAAAAACGAATGAATTTTGAGCCAATTACATGCCAACCACAAAACAGACTTGAACAATTAAAAATTCGCGCAGAACCACAGAATGGGTAGGAAGGATGCCTGTTACAAAAACACATCACACGCAAACAAACGCAACATATAAAATTTTTTCAACCACTCGCACGCATATTCACATAAATTTGTTTACATGGACTCACAAAAATGCACATGCACACCTGCACAAGCACACACAGACCCAAACATTCAGACTAAGCTGCCATTCAGCATTCCTTACAGACTACGCGACACACACACACACACACACACACACACACACACACACACACACACACACACACACACACACCAGTAGGCTCACGGTTAATTTTATTTAAATGTCTCGCAAACACCATGCTAAATGTTCTTTCCTTACTTGAGAGTGATCTTGCAGACGGTGCACTTGAAGCAAAGTTTGTGGTAGATGCGACCACCAGCTTCCTGTCGTTCCGCAGCGTACACTGACTTGCCACACGTCTCACACTTCTCAACTTTTGGCGGCTTCAAGTTTGAAATTTAATTGAATACACAAATAAGTAAATTTATTACTCAAAATAAAACAATTTCGGTTTTAAAATTTCAGAAATAATTTTTAACAGATAAAATTTATAAAGTAAACACCATAAACAATAAAGTAAAGACAATTGTCTTTTATAAAAGTCAATTTATACAATTAGAAATTTTATTCAATTAATTCGAAACATACCACAAAAGGCATATTTATCGATTGCTTTGAAAGAATCCAAGTGAAAGATTGAGGTTCGCCAAAAAATTGCAAAGCAGAAATATCCGAAGTGAACGAAGCAAATGATTTGGAATTTGTAGTTGAATGTACGATAAGCTCACCTTCAAACACAACCTCACCAATAACAACTGTTCATTTGAATATATATATATCAAATATCAACAAAACAAAGAACACAATCTAAGGAGAACACGAACATATTAACTTCATCACATTTATATAGTTTGTTATCTTTCATATTCAATATACACATACAGCAACAACAACATTCCAATCAAACACACACTCATAAGAAAGATTGTATCCATTTATTCATATTACATTTAACGCATGCTATATAGTAACATGTACATGTATACATCCATGCTAAGAAACAAAATATTAGATATACATTTTTAGAGACATTTGTATGCAGATATACGCTTATGAGAAGCTGCATGCGAGGATCATGGGTATGTATGTATGTATTTAACGTACACACAGGCAAGTGCATGCACCAAGCAAATACACATCCTGTAACAATATTAGGCCCTCGTAAAATAGCATCCCGCAAGTAATATCCAAGTTTCGATAATTCATAAATTTGACAGCAGTTACTAAATTTTGCAATAAATTTGAATAATTTTTCAAGCATCTTTTATTAGTTTAAGTTTTATTTTAATTGAAAGGTGAAATGATGTTAACTGCAACTGTAAGATACTAGGATGTGTAATGTAAACAATGCGCGCATAACTGGAAAGTTTCGGAAAAGCAGCAAAGAAGCAGCGTTCTGATGTTTCGTAGGAGTAAATGATAGCAGATATCTTTAACAAAAATAATAAAAGAACATTTGTGCTTTAATATTTTATTTTCGTGTATGAAAAAAATCTTAAAAAATAAAATATCAAGACAAATTATTTATTATACAAATTTTGCTAATGATATGTCTCTAATTCTTTTGGCCCTAACTAGCTTATTAATAGTTTAACAAGTAGTTTATGAATCATTGACATCTTATACGTAGCCATACAAATAATTATTTGGTCTATTTTTTCCTTTTGCCAGCGGCTCCACCACCAGTGCTGGCATTAGCTGCACCACCTTCCTTGCTCTTTTTTTGTTTCTTCTTTTTGAAAGGTCCCAAACATCTCCTTACTCTCAGTCCTCTCCACCACGCCTGGATCTGAATAGCTTTCTTATTTTGTAACTTCATGAAGTCTTCCTCGGCTTGCTTTATTGCTTTCATACGCCTATCATCTTCTATCACTTGTTCGTACTCCACGATTCGTTTTTTCAAAGTCTCCTGCCATTCCAAATCTTTCTCCCGACGTTCCTTCAGCTCCTTCAGTTCAGCTGTTTTCTTTTCCACATCGATTTCATATTTGCTTGTCCACCAATTCAACAACTCCTGATAACTTTCAATTTCTTTCTTCAAAAAGGACTCCATCACCTCGTTTGCCTTTAATCAAAATATACATAATTCTTAGTCTAAACAATAAAAATAATTCGCGCTTTTAAAACCAATTGTGATCTTTAAAAATTCATCTAACATCGACACCGCACGGAAGCAAATTGAAAAATCATTTAAACGTTGATTGTAATGTGTAGCATACTTTAATGTCATTCTCAATCAGCTGTTGAACCTTTCGTTCGTCTTCTTGCAACAGCCAAATTTGTTTATCATTCATTTTCTTCAGTTGTTCGAGAGAGGCTTCAGAGAATTTTTTAATGTAGGACATCTCGTACGCTCTCAAAACCTTCTGCTCCTTCAGATAGTCTTTCAAACTGGCTACCTGAGCTTCCCTTTCTTTTATCATCATCTGACCTTGCTCTTTTTCCTGAATATAGTATTAGTTACAATTCCGTTAGTTACAAATAATGATCGAAACGCAATGTTAATGTTACCGAAACTCAGTGCAACATGCTATTATTCATGCACTTAAACAGCAAGTGAAAATAATATTTACGATTGACAAATGCAACAACCGTCTTTGCCAATCTAAAGCTGAACAAATAAACGGAAAACATTGAAAATTTACGCTACAAAATATCTCAAATATAGATTAAATATATTTTGAAAAAATATTTTCATAAATTTTTCATTATGTAAACAAAATGTAAACAAACGTCTATGATGCTTTCAATAAGCTTTTTGCATTTTTCTTGATATTGCATTTCTTGTATGATCAACTTTGGACCGTTTTCCAATGCTGTTCTCTCCATCTGATTTCTTAATTTCAAAGTTTCGAAAGTACCTTTATACCTCATTTCCTCGGATGTAGCCAGAATGACGTCCATCAAACCATCTATTATGACTTTGTTTCGATGTTTAACAATTTGATTCAAAGCATTTTCATGGTCAGCTATAGCTTTGCTTAGCTCAAAACTTTTCATTCTAATACCATGTTCCTCAAAATTAATAAACGATTTTTCTTGAGGCAACTTTTGTGATCCAAAAACATTTTCAGCTTGATCGACAGTTTTTAAATAGAGACCTTCTAACAAACCATGGGCCTCCACAAGTTTTTCCACCCAGGTTGTATTATCATCTACTTCTGTTGATAACTTTGATTGTGAAAATTCAGAAGCACTTTGTTTTGCAGCCAAATTCACATGTGCGGCGAAAGAGGCAGTATTTCGTCCTTCTCCACGGTCAGTTGATGCCTTAGTCTGAAATTTTGAAACGGGCTGCTTCTTCTGAACTCCGCTGATTCTCATGGAACGACTTTCGGCCTTGAAAAGCTGATGGAGACGAAGCGGTTTGACATCTTCCGAGGTTCCGACGTTGTGCAATTGGTAATAACAATCTTTCATAACAGTTGCTATAAAGTTGGCTTCCACAGGGTCAAAGTTCATCCGTAAAGGATGGTCCGACGACGATTCCATAGGAGGAACAGCATTTTCGGCTGAAAAGAATGTTAAAAAATGTTTTAACTATTAATTGATCGTAACGATCAAACGGTCCACCTAAATATACACTTACAAGCAGCTTGCATTAGGAAGGACGATATAAATCAATCGTTTTACGATACTATTATTATTAGTTGAATCGAAAATAGAATTATCAGCTTTGCCTCCTTCGAAATTATTTAAAAACCGTTAATCAGAGAAAAATGAAACAAAACAAAACAAAAACACTAAATGTTTTAAATTTTAACGTTTTTTAAAGCGATATCACAATAAAAGGAAAAAAATTATGTAGTCCGAAATAAATGTGTTTCGTTATTTTTTTCAACGTTTTCGAGAACGGGTCCGTAGTAATCGATTATGTAATTAGAGCCGTCGGAGGGGCCTACAATCTTGAAAACATTAATACAAAATTGTAAATTATTAATTCAAACAAAAATTATATAATAGTAAAACAACCTGCAAAGCAATGAATATGATATCAACCAGAACCCAAAGAAACATGAAGCCAAACGTACTTAACTTCAATAAACCTGTTTACGTTTAGAATTTTTAGCTTTTAATTAACATAAAGACACAATATTGCCTTACATTGTGCACTTAATGCCTTTACCTAACGCTGGGTATCCCAAGTAGAATCTGTCAGCTCCCAAAAATCCAACAAATATTGACAGCAGCAGGGCTATGTTGAACTTCTTGCCATTCCTAGAAACCAAATACAAAAAATTAGAAATTAATTTTAAAATTTTAGTAAAAAAAAATCAAAAATCAATAAAATATCAAATAATTATATTATTTTACATAAATAAAACTGAATAGTTTATATAAAACATCAGAATCAGATGCAGGATTTAAAGACAAAAAATGTTTAATGTTAAGGTGCCATTTTCATATTCCCATTTATAAGTGCCACATATTTATTTATGAAAAACAAACTAAACAAGCAATTTCATCAACAGTAGTAAAATGCTGCTAGATTGAAACAATAAATAAAAAAATTAGTCACAATAACTAAACTTTTTAATAAATGGACATTTTAATAAGAACATATGTAATATTAATGAGCATATGTGATAAAAAAATACCCTTTAAAATGTAAGTCAAATAAAATTATAATTTAAAAAATTTAGTTAGGCATTCAACAGACAGACGTGTATTTGCATGGGACATCCAGCTGAAACCCAACTGAAGAACCTGTATGGAGTACACCATCGCAACAGATGTTGGCCACTGGATAACAGTTTACTAAAATAGGATAATTATTTAAGATTATTTTAACAAATATTAAAAAATAATATTATATTAATTATTAAATAAAACTTAATATTATAAAATCAGTAACCCAAATACAACTTTTAATTACAAAAAAAAACACAAAAATACATAGGTGACCTTTTATAAATTTTTTAGCCTCCTCACAGCCTAGCGGTTGTTGAGTTTGCAGGTCAATCTCCGGACTATCACAGTAATATCTGAAATTATAACAATTCATTTTTAAATTTTGTTGCAAAATATATATCAATTAAGTTTAAATGATAATAATTATATTAATTTTATAATTTTTTATTTTTAAATAATTGTTTTGCTATGCTATGTTATTGTTTTTTAAATTACAAAAATTGTATCATGAATTAAAATTATTATTATAATATAAAAATATATTATTCAATAAATAAATAAACATTATTTTATGATTAAATCATTAAGATTAATTAAATTAAACAAAACTAAATTAAATCATATTAAAAATTAAATTAATACTAAATAAATTATTCTAAAAAAACATACTGTCCCATTCTCAATGAGGAACAGCTAGTGATGAACATTTCAACACAGGTGTTGTTCATGTTATTGTTATTAATATTATTATTGTAATTATTATTTTCGATATAATTTTTTTCATTATTATTATTTGCATAATTATAATAAGAAGAAGTCCATATTTGCGGGGAAGTTCCTGCTGACCAGTTCACTGTTTTATTACTGCACACTATTAATTTGAAAAAAATGAAAAAGAAAAAAATTTGATAAATTTTCATAATTCACAATCTCTTTCGACCGTAAAACCAAATGTTAATGTGAAAATCACTGATTGTAAAATTTGAAAAATGTAAAGTAAATAATCACTTTTAGTTTATGAACATCAACATAGATATAACATGCAAGAGATATCAACTCAATGATATCCATTTACTTGAGTAATCTAATATCAAAAATGTTTAATGACATTTAGTTGAACAAATTTTCAGAGTTAAATATACCTACAATATATAGTTATATGAAACTATTTATTAAAACTCAATGAAACACGTTACTTAGTTTTTTGCCTTGAATTTTAGGCTTCTTCATTAGGTTCTTAAAACATGGGTTAACAAAAATTGACGTTAAACATCTCTTTCATCACAGGCTTTTTTTTGGTCTTTTTTTTGTTGATATCGAAATTCCTAAAAAAATGACACATCTGGTGTAAACATGTTGTCAATGATTAGTTGAATTATTTTTTCATGTAGCAAGCTGTCGGAAGATTTCTTAAACCTACCTTGAGTTTTGTTATGAAATTCCAAGTATATTCCGGATAATGGTATTTTTCAAGAGCGTTTAATTCATTAGTTTCATTTCTTAAAATAACGCTATTTAACTGAGATTTTATTCAAGTTCTTTCACACTCAAAGTTTTAATCACAATTTGGGGTTTCGGATATTTACAATTCCAATTGAAACCATTCTCTGAAGAGTGACCTCGTGTTTCGTCAGATTTGATTTTGTTGATTTACTGTTTGACGATATTTTTTCTTGACTATTTCTTGATTTGATTTCGAACGCTTTTGTTTTGCTTATAAGATCATATCTTTATTTGTAGATCCTTCCTTTGCTGTCCTTGTTTTTTCACTGCAACCAATTTTACGTTTTCATCCAACTTTTTTAGCGGCTGGTTCGCGCGTTTCCTTTACACTTGATTTTACACTTTTTGTAAAGTTAGTTGCTTTTAGTAAGACATTTTTCAAAGTTTTTTTTTCATTTTTAATTTTGGATTTCGGTTCAGTATGTTTTCGTTTTGTTTTAGAAGTTTCTTTTTCAGTAGACTCATTAGTTGATGATTTAGTTTCGTTGATTGATGCACCTGATTCGAAATTTTTCAATACTTCCTCGTTTGTCTTTGTGGTCTTATTAACTTTCTTTGTCAATACGGGTTTTATTGTTTTTTTCTTCTTAGATGAAAAATTTTTGTCAGACTTCTTTTTTGATATGTCTATTTTATTTTTATCAGTAGAACTTTCTTCTGTTTCAGTTAGAGATGCAACTTTCTCAGTTGTTGTAGTTGTTTTTTTTGAAGATGTTCTGTTCGTTTTATCAAAATCAGAACCGGAAATTTCAGAGCCAACAAATGTTGAACTAGATAATTTGTTAGAAAAAAGTTTACTTGAGTTTTTGGAGGCTGCTTCAGTTACGTCTCTAGAGATAGTATTAGGTATTTTGTTCAAAGGTGGTTTACCTAAGTTATCGGTAGTTGTCCTAGATTCCTTGCTAGAATTTGCCTTAGTTCCATCATTAGAAATTGTTCTAGCTACGTTTTCAGATAATTTTTCCAAAGATATCCCGTTCACGCCAACAGAAATTTTGCTAGTTAAAGACGCTTCTTTAGTTATGCTGTTAGAAGTCAATCTAGTTATGTCAGCGGAAGTTGCTCTTGTTACATTAAAAGTTGCTCTAGTTACGTCATTAGAAGTTGCTTTATTTACGCCAACAGATTGTGCTTTAGTTACATCACCAGAAGTTGCTTTAATTACGCCATCAAAAGTTTTTCTAGTTACGTCAAGAGAAGTTACTTCAGTTACTTTTTCACAAATTGCTTTATTTAGTTTATTAGAAGTTGTTTTTGTTAATTCGCCAGAAGTTGCTTTAGTTACTTCTTCAAAAACTGCACTGCTTAAGTTATCTGAAGTTGCTTCTGTTACCTCACCGGAAGTTGCTCTAGTTACGTCTTCAGAAGTCATTCCAGTTAAGTCATTAGATGCTGCTTTTGTTACATTTTTAGAAGTTGCTCTAGTTGAGTCATCAGAGACTGTTTCGGTTAATTCGTCGGAGGTAGCTTTTAATAATTCTTCAGAGATCACTGAAGATATGTTATCAAAAGACGACTTACTCACATTACCGGATGTTGCTTTACTTGTGTCATAGGAAATTGCTGTAGTTACTTCTTTAGAAGTTGCTTCAGTGGCGTCACTAGAAGTTGCTCTAGTTACTTCATCAGAAGTTGCCCCAGTTACTTCACCAGAAGTTACTTTTGTTACTTCTTCTGAAGTTGGTTCAGTTACGTCATAGGAAGTTGCGTTAGTTATTTCTTTAGAAGTTGCTTCAGTAACATTTTCAAAAGTTATTTCAGTTACATCATCGGAAGTAGCTTCAGTAACTTTATCAGAAGTTGCTTCAGTTACTTCGTTAAAAGTTGCTTCAGTTACCTCATCAGAAGTTGGTTTAGTTACTTTTTTAAAAGTTGCTTCAGTTACGTCACTAGAAGTTGCCGTAGTTACATCTTTATAAGTTGCTTCAGTTAACTCATCAGAAATTGTTTTAGTTACTTCTTTAGAAGTCGCTTCAGTTACGTCATCAGAAGTTGCTCTAGTTACTTCTTTAGAAGTTGCTCCAGTTACCTCATCAGAAGTTGCTCTAGTTACTTCTTTAGAAGTTGCATCAGTTACGTCACTGAAATTTTCCTTAGTTAACTCTTTTGAAGTTGCTTCAGTTACTTCATCAGAAGTTGCTTTAGTTACTTCTTTAGAAGTTTTTTTAGTTGCTTCATCAGAAGTTGCTCTAGTCACCTCTTTAGAAGTTGCATTAGTTACGTCCACGGAGGTTGCTTCAGTTACCTCACCAGAGGTTGCTCTAGTTACTTCAGTTGCTTCACCAGAAGTTGCTCTAGTTACTTCAGTTACCTCACCAGATGTGGCTGCAATTACATCATTAAAAGTATCTCTAGTTACATCAATTAATTCTGTTTTTGTTAAGTCTTCAGAATGTCCTTTATTTACATTGACATTTATTCCACTTAATTGACTTATAGGTGCTTTGGTTGCATCTTCAACAATTGTTCTAGAAACGTCACCCCATGTTGTTGCTGCTTTTTTACCAGAAGTACCTCTAACTATCTCGTTAGAAGATAGTTTGCCTGGATCACAAAAATGTAATTCTTTCACATCAGCAATGGTTATTATACTTAATTCTTCAGAATTTATTCTAGTTACATCACATGAAATGGCTTTAAGTTTGCCTACTTTATTGTGTGTTCTTGGTCTTTCAGCTGAACCCATATTTGTTGTCGACGAAAATAAATTAGATTTGGCTGCTTCCGGTAAAATTGAATCAGTGGCAGCTAATACGGCTTCATTAACAGTTTCAGGTGCAACTTGAAAAAGATCTATTTGGGCAGTTTCATTAAATTTTGCTGAATATAATTTGTCTATATTTATTTTGTTGGCCAACACAGGAATAGCGTTTTTAAATTTGTCTATACCGCTTGAAGTTGTAGAAGATGCAACAAAATAACTTGACCGTTTAAATAATTTATTTTCAGGCATAGCGTCGTTTAATTGTGAGTCGAATTTAGAATCTCTTTCTGCGTTGAAGGTGAAAGTTCGTTGTTCCTCTGTCATGGAAATTTCGGTAAGCGCCTTTTCAACAGATTTTGAACAAACGGTGGAATCTAATACTATTTCTTTTTCTGGTAATTTTAAAAAAAGTACATGGCTATTTAGTGAAGACTTTTTTTTAGTGGCATCCAATGCATGGAGTGATTCTGCTGAGGTGGTAGTGGAATCTTTAAATAAATAATTTCTTGGGGACTTTTCCATTATTTTTGTTGAATTATTATGTAAAGAAGGACCTATTTTCAAATCGAACGCAGTGTTTTTGAAAAAGTCATCGTGCGCTTTCAACTTTGAATCATCAATTTTTGCGTTTTCATCAACATATTGGTTATCAAATTTTTCATAGTTTTGTTGTTCTGCAATTAACTTTTTTTCAAAAAAATTATTTGTATCGTAAGAAGAAATATGAAGTACTGCTTCAATTTCGTAATTTCCTTGAATAGAGCTTTTTGAACCGATCTGCGCAATATCCTCGTTTGCAGTTTTCATTTCTAATTCTGGTAAGCTGGATAAACGATGAGTTTTGAACTCTCGAATTGCATTTGTTTTTCGTTTCAGAATTGTAGAATCGCTATAATTTTCAAAAAATATTTCATTCTTTGATTTTTTATTTTTAAAATTTTGCCGTGATGAATCTGAAGTTATCGTCTGATCAGTACTTGAAGCTCCTTCGATGTAATTCATTTTGCCAAAACCTGGACTACTCAAGTTTGTTGGTTTTTCAGATGAATTATTGTTGGTTGTGAAGTTCAACTGATTCATTATTTTTGTTTTCTTTCGTTTCTTGCGTTCATTCAAGTTGTGGGATTTTTTTGTTTGATTTTCTTTTGAAATCACCCCAAAATTATTAACATTATGTTTAACATTACTCGGTTTGTTTAAATCGATAGTTTGATTCGTAGAAAACTTTTTCGTTTCGGCTTGTGATGGAGGACGACCAAGTGTTATGAAAGTTTCGCCTTCTCCACGCTGAGTAACTAAATATTTGTTAAGCAATTCCATCTTGTAATTGTTTAGGGAAGACTCGCTGGCTATTAAATGGCGAACGTTCAGTTTGTCTGATCTTTTTCTCTCGCTTCGTTTTGATTTAAACAATTTTTCTTCACTAGAATGGATTTTATCACCTCCTATTAAATTATCGTAACTTTTAGTTTGTATTTTTGACCCAGAACTTGATTTAGAACCTTTTTCGGAGAAACATTCATTCTTTGCAAGCGTTATTTCGGATTTTTTAGCCTCATTCTTTTGAATGAGCATCTTTTGCTTGCTTGGCTTACTACAACTTTGAACTTTTTCTATTTTTTTATGTTTTACTTTTTTCGTTTTCATTTTAGAAGTTTTCTTTTTTGAAACAAAAACTACTGGATTTAACAGAGATGTGAAGTGATCTTTCATTTCTGCCTGTTTCTGTTCCAATAAATTTTCATCGTGGTCATCACATTTTATAACTTTCTCAGTTATGTTTCTATGGTCACCGTCTTCATTTTCATTTTCTGACAATTCATCCAAATTAACATTTTTATGTTTCATGAACTCAGCTAATTTCCTAAATGAAGGGCTTTTACAGTTAGTTGAGAGTTTTTTCAATTTCATCTCCAAGTTGTACATATGCAGATTTGACATTCTAAAAAAGGTGTTGAAAAGAAATCATAAATTTTAAATAAATAGAATGTAATTTTTATTTTTCCAACCTCGCATCATTTTGCATCACAGGAACACCCGGTGGAGCCTCACAGAATTGTTTGAAAAATTTATCTCGATTCAGATTAATTTTCTTCTTTAAGTTGAAATCGCATTCATCCTCATCTTCTTCAACTTGGTGAAGACTGGCGTAGATATCTTTTCCGTACGATGAGCTTGTCGATAACCGGTTGAGTATGTAATCTTTTTCGCCAAAAATTTTGTTCAAAAAATCTTTACGTCTAAGAAGTTTAATTATTTGAATTTTTAAATTCGAAATCACTCAATTGATAACAACACTAATTTACGATGAAATATTAATGTAACGTTAATGACCCTGTTTTGGATTTTGGTACAAACATCTTGTTGTTGCTCGGGTCTGCCGCGATATCCCTCGGTGGCATCTTACTGATCAACTTTTCTCGCATTGTTTCCAGCTTCCTCTTGGCGTCGCCATCATCATGTTGCAAATAATCAATCACAGAAAATGGAGTTTTCCTGTTTCTCATGGCGATTTTGTTTTCCATTATATTCATGGTTTGAAATATGTACTCCTCCTTTTTCTCGCTCACCAACTCGTCAAGTTTTTCACTAAAAAGTATTTGGCCGTTATGCTTCATTTTTTTGCAGAAATGTTTAAGGTCGGAGCGCTTCTTTTCATTTTCTTGGCCTTGCTGATCGTCAGCAGTCTGTTTCGCGAACACGACGTTCAAGTCCTTTCCTTTGACTGAATTTGTTGACAGGCGGCTCAGCATGTAATTATTGTCATCCCACCTGTAAGATGCAAGTTTGCATTTAAAGAATAGTAATTAAATTATATAATTTATTTTTAAATTTTATGTTTTCAAAAAATATTCGACAATCCACATGATAATTAAGTTCGTATTTTAATTGCATGAATAGCTGAATGAACTGGATGAAAAATATATAAAAATATATATGAAAAAATCGAATAAAACCACATTGAAAAAGGTAAAAATAAAATTTAATAAAACAGTTTTTATGTCTCAAGAATTCAATTGCATGGTTTTTTGTTAATTAACTCATAAAAAGTTAAAAACACAGAGTAAAATAAATATTGTACTAACGGATTAAACATTATGAAAAGTTTTTTCTAACAATTATTTTCAAACTTGAAACAAAGTTGCAAGATAATTTTAAATCGTTTTAACTAATTTAATTTAATAAATATTTTGCTTATTGATATTATTCTCATTAGATCCAGAGGACATTATAGAATACAAAAATCCTACATGTCAACATTTTTTGATGTTTTGATGAGAATGATGTTTGTGTTGATGACAAAATGTTCTAAAATTTTTGAAATAAAATCCAAATTTTTATTCTTCCATCTCTTTTTTAAGCCATTATTATTGTTATTGTTGCTGTTTTCATTAACTTAAGTTATGCTTTGACGTCATTATTTTGCATTGAAAATACAATTTTTCAAATATTTAGCCCTTCATAAATTTTTCAATCTATGCATGTAAGTTAGTATGAAATATCATCATCCGATTGTTATTAACAGTTAGTTATTCAAGTAACGTCGAATGACATTTTACATTTTCTTTTTTTTTATCATTTTAATTTGAAAACAGCTGCGTTAAATAATCTAATGAGTGAATTAATCACGATCAGAGTCATTATGGCACATTCAATATCATCATCGTCTACATCATCATCGTCCTCATTAACATCATTTAAACATCAAAACCTTTACCAGCACCCTCATCTCCAAAGTCACCGTCATCTTCAGCGTCAACATCATCATCTTCACCATCAACGTCATTCCCATTCCAGTTAGTAATGGTGCGTTATTTATAAATGGAGGGGCTAGATAAACAAAGACGAAAGGAAAACAAAAACGTTTGCGATCGCGGATGGATATCGCCTCTGATGTTGTTTCTATTCTAGAGATAAATCAAATAATACGTACAGTCCATCTCTCTCCCATATATCTGCGTTTGTATTTGTTCAAGAGTTGAATGATTTTATGCTTCTCTTGAGGGCGCACACATAATAGCTGGATGGATATTTTGAATAGGTGGATGTGTACGTACATATGTATATATAGAAACACGCACGCACACACACCCACACACACGCACTCAAACAAACATTACATAATGACCTTTTTTAAACGAGATAATTAAGAAATCGTGTACAAGAACATCCTCACTGATCATCATGTGAAACAGCGAAAAATTCGCAAACACAAAATTTTACATTTAAAAAACGATAACGTTAATATAGAACATTTAACTCCTCACATCACAGTAAATTAATTCACACATTATGACATGACATTATATGACATTAAATTACAGCACGTCACGTCACATGTCACGACAATTTTAAATCGCATTCAACCATCTGTTGTTGTTACTGTTGTTGTTATTGTTGTTGCTTATACCATTAGCATTATTATTTTTTATAATTTTCCCATACAGAATTTCCACATCCGGCCGGTCAGTTGTTGGATAACGCGATAGAGACAATTATAAATTGTACAGCCAGACAGGCAGTGACTCCTAAGCTCATTCGTCCCAACGATCGCTAATGCATGTTAGACAACCCCATTCCGTTATCGTTCGGTCCACTCTAGTCTGATCAACAGAAATGGGATTCATATTTTTCCATACAATACTTTTTCCATTCATTGCTGTTGTCCTCATCAACATTGTCATTTACTTTGACATTGCCATCTTCATCGTCGTCATCATCGTCATCGTCGTCATCATAATGCAGCCACACAAAGACAGAGTCGGAGGCAACGAGGGGGTTTGGGAGCCGCACATCTTTGTAGAAAAATATTAGTTGGGAGGAATTAAAGTTAATTAAAAAAAAAATCTGTTTAAATTTTGATCTAAAATTGTTAAGTCTGGTTATTTTGTTAACTCGCTATAATCATGATCATGTTCACTGTTGTGATTGTATTTTAATTAACGATCTTCATCATTCCACTTCACATCGAGATATTGTTATAATCAAAAATACATGAAAGGTTATACGTAGACTATTGACGTGTTAGCCTTGTATGTTTAATTTGTTTTTTTTTTCAATTTAAAAATACAGTTAATTAATCAAATGTAAATGTCAGCAGTACAGTTGACAACAACAACCATGCTGCAGTTAGACCAGGAACTCCAAACATTTTTTCATCAAACATGTTCAGTCGCACTTTAAAATTTCAAAGTAGTTTGGGGGTTGTTTGAGCGTGCAATTGCAACGAATACCCCAACGAAATGTAATGAGCTTGTTGTAAAATGAGGCGAGTGGATCCTCGTTTTAATGAGCCGGATGCTGATGCTTGTTAACTGAAGAATGCAGATGTGAACGTTGAAATGTTGCAAATAATGATAAGATGACGAAAACCAACACCAAAAAAATGTAGTGGGTGATTCCATGGAAAAGAACTCCTACATACGCACCGGACCTATTAATCGAACAATGGAATGTTAATTTACGACCATCGGCTGCCATCTGTGACTAATAAAATAAATGAACACACAAATAAATATTTTGTTAACAGTAACAGTATTCAATCTCTCACTCCCTCTCTCTCTCTCTCTTTCTTTTTCTTTCTCTCTTTTCTCTCCCTTCCCTTATTTATTAATATCTTTTTGAAAATTGTTTGGTAGCCCACATTTGCGTGTGTTCGCCGTTATAATTGACGATCATCATCTGGGCAGATAAGAAAATAATATGAAAAATAATAATTTTGTTGTGCCATAAAGATGATGATGAAAAAATGATGATGAATAAGATGATGTCAGTGGTTCATCATCATCATCATCTTCTTATTTCTTCTTCTTTTTTTCTTATTATCATTAGTTTTTTACACTGTTTGGCATACTGATAACATAATTATTATTGGCATCATTAACTTAAACGTTATGATGATTACTGCCAACAAATTTACCATCATCATCATTGTCATCATCATCATTATCATCATCGTCAACGTCATCATCATCATCATCGTCAACATCAACGTTATTATCTATGTCATCGTCGACTCGGCTATTTCTTTAAATGCTTTTTCAGATCGGCCTGAGGTAACGCAAGGTTCAAGTCATTACCATCCGAGCAGTAACAACCCATCATTATCATCATTCATCATCCTTATCATCATTTTTATTACCACGGTCCTAGTCGTCGTCATCATCATCGTCATCATCGTCGTCATCAACGATATTATACTTAAAAACATCATCATACATCGTCATTCTTACCATCATGGTCAGATGACGATGAGTGAAGCGATGAGTGCTAGAGGGGACGATGATGATAATGATGATGGTGATGACGATGATGGCGATAATGATGATGTACTGATCAGAGTGGTGAGAAGAGTAATTCAGCTTTTATTCATATTCTGCTCATATGATCATCATTAACTCCATCGTCATCATCGTCATCATAATCTTTTTTAAAATAATCAATGTCATCTTAATCACAGTCATCATCATCATCTCCAAAATCTTCAACGTCATCATCGTCATCACTTTTCTTTCTACACAATTCGTTTATATGCATTCGGTGGTTAGCATAAAATTTGTCACTGATCAAATAGGCACATTACACGCACGCACACACACACACACAGACACACACACACACACCACACACACACACACACACATTTCTTCTTTCTCACAGGCACACGCACACATACAAACACGAGAGAGAGTGCTGGTTTTATCGTGCCAATGGAGCTATTATCCATATCATTTTATAACCTATGAAATGAATGGGAAATTGTTGCGTAATAAAACGCATTGCGATAGGCAAACTTTCATAAATATAAGAGTGGAATGATAATAATAGTAATAATAATAATAATAATAATAATAATAATAATAATAATAATAATAATACGTCTACTACAGCTATGGTGTTAAGATATTAAATGGGAACAAAAACACTGCTCATATCAATTCATAGAATGTTCTCTGGTTGGATATTTTTTTCAACTTTTATAAATTTTGTTAGAGAAATTATTTTTGTTCTATAAAAATAATTTTATATGTAAAATTTCAAGGGACATAAAAAATTCGTTATGTAGAGATTTTGTTGTATAGAAGTTCGCTATAAGGACTGTGTTAAAATTGTTGGAAGGATTTCATTTACTCAGTAGACAACAACAACTTATTGTAGGAAGGAACATCGTTGTAATTCAACTACAATGAATAATGGGTATCTTGTATTTTTTTTTCTTTTTTCAACATGTCACAGAGTAAGACATTCACAATACATGCCTGTATAAATGGACATACACTACACATCTATGCATGTTTAACGCAGTGCTGCCATTGAGCTGTTTCATGCACAGAACACAAAGTCGAAATACACTATCGTGCAAAATGAAAGCTCAAATGTTAAAGTTCAGCCAATGTTTGTATTTATTAGTATGCATGTGTAAACTTTCTTATGTATGATGTATCCATGTATGTGTATGTTTATGGATGACTATATATCTGTATGCTGTATTTATATGGGAATATAACTATTTGCGTAAAAGCTTATGTATGCGTGTGTACTTATATTGCATATATAAACCTAAGTAAATATTCATGTCTTGCATTTATGTGTGTATAATACACAAAGGTATGAATGTATGTGGGTTTGCATGTATGTATGTATGTATGTATGTATGTTTGTATGTGTGTATGTATGTTTGTATGTGTGTATGTATGTTTGTATGTGTGTATGTATGTCTGTATGTGTGCATGTACATTTGAAAAGTATTCTTCATCCTTCATTCTACGTGATTAAAACGAACATAGTCAGATGTACGTGTAGAGATTTCATCATAACGAGCAGGCAGGCAAATCAGCTGAGTGAGCTGAAGGAAAATAACATGCAAATAAAAATGACATATGAACAAATAAAAACGACAAGATAACTGGGAGAGAGGAGAGAAAAAGAGAGAAAGAGAGAGAAAAAAAGAGAAAGAGAAAGTAATCAGAGAGCAAAAAGAAAAGATTGAAAAATTGCAAAATAACTGAAAATGCATAATTTTCGATTTGCATGTTAAATATCAAATAAAACTATTTACTTGAACTGATAGAGGTAAATAATTACATGACACACACACACACACAGATATATATATATATATATATATATATATATAATATAAATAAATATATATATATATATAAATATATATATAAAATGTGATATATATTATATAAAACATAAATTGGAACAAATTCTGTAAGGTTGGAGTTGTTAATATCGAAGTATCGCTATCGGAAAAATTACATCGCTGACATCTTTTTTTAATAGTCCCTTTGTTACCGACAATAACGAATGCTGGATTTCGAACTTGATATCACGTTTTACTAGGAAAAAAAATCAGCTCTCGACACAGATAATTTTGAGCGTTAGCTAGATATAATTTTTTAAACTCTCCTATCATATCAATGTGCAATGCTAAGACCGCTTTCTAATTGGTAATGTTGGATTTAAGGTTACGTTTGGCCGTCTGCTGCATGTTTCTATTCGAAAACTCGTTTGTAACCGCCGTCCTTCATATTCACATTTAAAAGTTGTTGTACTTTTGAATGGTTTAATAAACCTTTGCATCAGATATGCTACGGATAAAATAATAGTTCCGCTTTCATATTACACCGTTTATAAAATACAAAATACACGTATTGCTATTGCCGGCAATCCTTTCAAAACCAAGCATCGGTATATGTATCTGAAGTGTATTAGTACTGACGATACCCTTTCAAGTATTGGTAACCTCTCTGGCCGCATTTGGCACTATAATTAATATCAATAATATTCTAAAATGCTACTTCCATTTACATTCTAGCCCATACATACTCTTTTAAAGATCTTGTCACTTATACATGGGCCCCTTTATCTACATATGTATAATGTATATACATTTATATACATAGTTAGATGCGTGCATGCATGTATTTATACAATAGCTTTGATGTTGATACTCCGTGGCGATCAAATTGGATGTTAAAGGCAGGTTTATACTAAATGAATGTTCTATCTATACTGGTATATATGTATGTTGTTGTTTATGTTTATGTTCTAATGTTTAAAAATATAGTTATAGGAGGGAATATTTTGAATTGAGAATTTATGTATAATTCGTGTTTGAAGTTGCTTAGTTTGACTAGTAAACAATTTTGTTTATTTATTCATCTACTTATAAGTTACATATTACAAATGGCTGATGTGTAATTATAATGTAAATATTATATTCATAAACACACACACACACACACACACACACATATCCATTGTATGAATGAATAATGCATTCTATGTTAAATTCAATATAATAAACAACTTAAGCTTGCATAAAGAAAACAGGCGAAGACTAAATAAAAAATGTTTGTACAAAAAAATATTTAAAACCCACCAAAAGGATTTAAAAATTTTTGTATCTTTGTTATGTAAAAACAAAAGTTTTTGAAAAATTACAACATTAATTTTGTTAAATAACGGATCAGATATTTGTCAACAATGAATAAACAACAACACCAACAACAAAGATGAGATGAAAATTTCATTTCGGTGGAAACATAACGAGGACAAAACTTTAAGGCACAACAACTACAACACGAATAGCCAAACAACAACAACATCGAAACATCAAAACAGTACTTTTAATGAGCAGCTACCGATACATTGTCATCGATGATTTATTAGCTTTACCATTATAATCCGAACGAATCAAGTTTTAACAGTTGAAACACGTAACTTTTATCTCCCATCTTTTATCCTCCCTTTCTCTCTCTCTTTTTCTCTCTCTTTCTTCCTTTCTTTTTCTCTGTCTCTCTCCACTAACAACAGCTGCAGCAGCAACAAAAACAACAATCGCATCACATCATATTGTGACGTCATCATCGTTGTCGTCGTCACTGTTATTATCATCGTTATCACTAACGCATTCTCGTCCTGCCAAGCGTCATCAGATCACTTCTCATCACACCACTAGTGTTATCATTTTATCACTGACTCACTTTCATCCATCCAACCGTCTACGTCATTGGTGACGTCATTATCAATTTCGACTTCGACGTCATTTGCGTTGCTATGGAAACACAGGCAATGGATAATGATGATAATGGAGGTGAAGGAGATTTTGTTTCAAGTTTTTTTTGGTGTTTTTTTTGGTATAAAATTCTTTTGTCGCATCATTGTAGTTGTCATTTTATTCGGAAGAATATCTCGTGTTAGAACTCTACTGTTTTAAAAGCAAATGTAAAATATGTTTTTTTTTGTATGTGCGAAATTTGTCATTTTTTAAACGTTGTCAAAATTCTTTTGTAGGTACGTTGATGAAAATGTTCTGAATTTTGAAATTTGTTACATTGAAGTTGTCATTAGTCGAGTGTCTTCTTCTTCGTTGTGATGGTGATATTATACTGTAAAACCATGGCTAGGATAATTGGACTTGGGGAGGTTGACTGAGATGGGTGGTGCTGCTGTAGAAAATGTTAGCCGTGCACTTGAAATGTAATTGGAAGTAACTCAATGAATCAGCGCTGACAGTAATTTGATAGTACTCGAGACAGAAAGTAAAAGTTTTAGTTTAAATGTGCACCACCAACCATGGCCCTACTGAAAAATATTTGTACTCAGTAATTTGTTTATTTGATGTGGTTTGCAAAGACACAAATATTCATCATTTGTATATATCTGAAAATAGTTACTAATGAAGTATTTAGTATCGTTGTTTCATTTACAATAATTTTTATTCACCTAAATCTTATATCTGATATGACAATTAATGGAATGATGTAAAGTGATCCAAATAAATTCTAACTTAATCATCATCACCGCGAATATTATGATATTTTATTCAATACCATCTGCAAACTGAACGAACAGAGATGAGTGAATATCAAAAGAAGTACCCCGATCTCTCCGGCCAGTTTTTGACGATCGTCGTCAAACGTCCACTGAAGCAACCACCGATGCCACAAACGCCGCCCACATCATCTCTACCACCAACGCCATCATCATCGTACTCTCTGTCATCACCATTGCTACTGTCAACTTCATCATCACCGTTGTCTGCACTCTACGAAAGTATGGGGCTGTGCCTGGCGGGAAACAGAGATTTGAACAAGATGAGCACGTTCGTGGCTGGCCTGGTACCGCAGTCCACTGCCTACGAAGATGGTCAGCTGATGATTGGAGATGAACTCGTTGAGGTCAGTGCTATCTTGAATATGTTGTCATTTTTTTTTATCAATACATCGATTGTCAATGTTCATTCATACCAATTGTTGTTTTTGAAATGTTTCGTTGCAGGGTGTATATCAAGAAGTGGATAGTGAACAAAATGAAATAATCTTTTTATTTAAAGAGAAAATTTGAAGTTTCTATGAAAGAATGAGTATTAAAACAAATTTAAAATAAATATGTAAATTGGAATCTGCAAAAAAATTTTAATTTTGATAAATAACAAATGACGAAAAGTCATTTGACGAAAGAATAGTTTGAAGAAATATGATCGAATAAATAAATGAATGAAAGATTGATGATTTCTTGGATGAAAAAATTTTATGGGAGGAAATGTTGATGAATTATTAATAAGCATTGATAAATGGATGGATTGATAGATGGATTGATAGCTGGTAGATTGATTGGATATATCCATATGACTGGACAAATGAATGATTGAATGGACGGATGAATGGATAGATGAATTGATAGACAAAAAGATAAAAATTCGTTAGATGAATAGATATAATAAATGAACATATAAATCAAATGTTTAGCGAATGGACGACGCATGTACAATATATTGTAGCAGATGTTTTTGCAACATGACTTGCGAACTCATGGATGAAGATCGTAAAGTTGAATGTTATCAATGAAAATAGAATCAAGTAATTCGTAGGAACGAGCAAATATAAAAAGTGTAGAAAGAATGATGATAAAATAATAAATAATGGTTTTTGATCAGTCGGTACAAACTGAGCAATAGACGATTGAAATGATAACCAATGAAAGACAATCATTCCTAAAATTATTATTGATTGATAGAGCAAAATGACAAACGAACAAATGTAATCAAATAAACAAACAAATGAACAAACAAACAAATGAACAAACAAACAAACGAACAAATGAACAAACAAACAAGCCAAGTACCGAAGAAACGAAAGACTTATAATTTAATTAGCTAGAGCACAAGCATTCCTGCCCCCGACCAACACAATCCTAACAAACAACATGCACTAACGTAGTCCAAAATTGCATTCCGACACCAATATAACAATGAACGACAGCAGCAAATATTTCATTGAATAATGCTTGTGTAGCCTGGGTAAATATTGCGGCGTTACTTCATAATAATCAGTCTTTCTCTCCTCTCTCTCTCTCTCTCTCTCTTTCTCTCTCACTTGTTTCACTCATTTTCTTCTTTTTCTACACATAATTACAGACTCTAAAAACAAAGGCATTTTTTGAACAGCCAGTAATTCAAGTTGGGTTAGAACGAACCTCTGTTATACAATTGTTGCCCAAATCATCTTGTTCAAACGCTGTATAAATGCTCTAATGACAACGATAAATGAATGAAAGAATGTATGGATATATCGTGAAGAGGTGCTGTACCATATTTGTATGAATTAAGCCGATACGTGCTTGCTTAACTTTCCCACATTACAAAACACCTACATGAACCCATAAAAAATTGTAAACATGCATATTTAATCATTGAATTAAAGGTTCTTATTTATCATGGAAAGATATCGCTATTAAAATATAGAGTTTAAATAAAATATGAAACTTAAATTTATTTTATGCTGAATAAATTCAAAATTGAGTAAAAATTGAATAAGCAGAAATAAAAACAACAGCAGCCGATCAATTTCAGTAGAAGCAAAAGTGATTCATCTGAAAGAACAGAAACAAAAATATTAATACCATCCCTGAAAATTAATTTTCTTAACGCATTTATGACTTCAAGTTCAATGGCGACTCTTCATCATTTCGGAAAAAATTGATTAAGTTTTTTTTGAAGGAAAAAAGACCTGAAGATATAAAAATTTAACAGAAAAACATTAGATTCGCTAAATTACATAAAAATGATCTGAAACTAATAACAAATGCAAAGCAATAACATTATTAAAAGATAATAACATCATAACTAATAAAACCAGATGAAACAAATAGCAAATGATTTGATGGTCGGCGGAAATGCGATGTATGTATCATGTATCAATAAATCAAGTGTCAATCTATCCAATCCGATTTATGTACTTGTTCTTTTTTAGTCTAAACTTGTTGGTTGCATTGGCAATAAATGGCAGCCCAAGATTAATTACACGAATGCTGTGAAAAATGAAACCATTTATTTTGTGTTTGGTTTCTAGGTGTTGTTTTAGGTTTCTAAGTGTTGTTGTTGGTTTCTAGATGTTGTTGTTGGTTTCTAGGCGTTATTTTTTGTTTCTAGGTGTTGTTGTTTGTTTCTAGGCGTTGTTGTTGGTTTCTAGGCGTTATTTTTGGTTTCTAGGTGTTGTTGTTTGTTTCTAGGCGTTGTTTTTGGTTTCTCGGTGTTGTTGTTGGTTTCTAGGTGTTGTTTTCGGTTTCTAGGTGTTGTTGTTGGTTTCTGGGTGTTGTTGTTGGTTTCTAGGTGTTGTTGTAGGTTTCTAGGCGTAGTTGCTTGTTTCTAGGCGTTGTTTTTGGTTTCTAGGTGTTGTTGTTGGTTTTAAAATGTTGTTTTTTTGTCGGTTTAGTGTGTTAAGTAAAAATATTTTTAGCTGTAAGAAAGGTAAACATCAATTTACATATTTATAAAGGAGAAATTTGATCTTAGTTGTAAAAAACGGACAGCAACAACTCTTACGGTAACAACAATATCATTAACATAAATTACGCAGACAACAACTACAACAACAACAGCAACAAATAACAAGCATACATGGCATAATATTTGCTCTAGCAAATCACCTCTGATGACAATTCACATCCGCTCATCTTTTTTGCTCATCTGTTTCTTTTTCATTTTCTTCTTTGTATTTTTTGTATTTTATGTGTTTTTGTATCTTGTATTTTGGTATCTTTAGTTTTGTATTTTTTGTATTCTTTGTATTTTTTCTATTTCGGTATCGACTCTATTCTTTCACAACAACTATTTTTCTCACGCGGAATTTTTATTTAAGAACTTTTTTATTTATGTCAATATCTTCTAATTTATTTATGTGTACGTTATTTTATTTAAACATCTATTTATGAAGTTTTTAAACCATATCTGCATATAAGACAGTAAAAATGTTTTTTATATGAATAAGTAAATTTTTATGAAAAAAAGTATTCTTTAATAATTACTTTATGTATACATGTTCATAACTCGCGTGTCTGTGCCTGTGTTCACCTTCATGTTTGTGTTCATGTTCACTTTCTGGTTTTTGTTCATGGTCAAGTTTATGTTTTTTTATGTTTTCATCTCTTCATCTTCGGTAGACGAACTGGCAAATGTCACGAAGTCCTGCGACATTATTTGAACGATTGTTTGTTTGCTGAACTCTATGTATGTATGTATGTCTTGTATGTAAACAAACAAACTTTTGTTCGTTTGTGTATATGTATTTGAATGTAATGTGCAATTGTATGCCTATTTACGTATGTGTATGTATTTGTATGTAGTATGCGTAAATGTATCTTCATATGTTTGCACGCACAGTCGTGTATTTTTTCTAATTGCATGCATCTTCATTCACGCATGTGGAAAGATTAAAAAAACGAAAACAGAAAAAATAACTGCAATTTGAGGAAATGTGTTTTTAGTTTTAATCAACCCACAGAGAGGTTTTAAATATTAATGAAGAGTCTGTTTGTGTTAAATGTTCAATGCACATTCTAGCTCGTGAACCTAGCCAAGATTAGGAGCACACAAAACCAACGCGTTTCGTCAGAATAGTAGATTTTATAGGTACATCGGCAGTTGATAATGTATGCAAATAATTTCAATCTGTATGCTTGTCAGTCTCCAACTTGATTTTAAATGTTTCGACTGCATACGCTTAGTGATTACTAGAGGGTAATTATATGTAACACACACACGGATAGAAATATTATTCATGTAAACATTCACCCCTCTAAAACTCGCACACGCACGCAAGCACACACACTCGCACGCTGGCACATGCAAGTACTTACATTACTTAAAGTATTGTTTAGAACATGTTTGGTGCAACTGGCATTGTACAATTAAAATAAGAGGCTACTACTGAAGGTTGCAACTAAGTTCGGTTTGATAGAGCTGAGGAAAAAAAAGGAGCATCCTTCCATTCACCTAACTTAATTGATGGGAAGTTTTTATTGAGTTGGATGACAAGAGCAATCAATCAATCGACGTTATTTTGATTGCGAATCTATCGCATCGATTCGTATTGATCAGACTCATCACTCATTTAATCATTTCTATTTTTCTATCATCAGACGTTCAATCAATCTAACTGTTATCTAGCAAACCATCCGTAAGATATATATATATATATATATATATATATATATATATATATATATATATATATATATATATATATATATATATATATATATATAACAGTCAACCGTTCAATCAATCATTAAAATGTGTTGTTTTTGTACCACACAAACAACCAGCACACAGAGAAATCAGTCAGTCAAATATTTCACAATCTGAAAAAAGGTTTTTTACTGTTTACAATGCAGAAAGTTGTGTCTAGTAATTGTTAACAAGTTTGGATGAAAGTTCTGTTATATTAACAAATTTTCGTTATTAATAAACTTTCATTCTAATATCATTACACATTGACAGTAACATTTGGGACATGATCTAAAATCAAATCAGAAATATTAAATCGTTTGCATTTGTTTTCACAACAAGTGCAATTTTTAGTCTAACTTAAAACAATAAACCAGATTGTTAAAGAACAATTTTTTAGAAATTATTTTTTTAGGAAAAATCCTAAAATAACCCAAGTTCATTTGGGAAAGTTTACATCAAGAAGCCTAGCAAGATTACTGTATAGTTCCTTCTTGGTCAATAAAAATATGTGCAAGACATTAACATAAACATTAGCAATAACAAGCAATGAAATCATTATTTCTTTCATGTTAACATAAAATTATGTTGTCATAAAATGATTTATAAATATTTCATAACCAAATAAAAATAAAAACTCCAAAATAAAAAATGAAAATAATCGAAACATAA